TGTCCGGGTGTCGACACTGCATGAGGCTCAGTGGCGTCACTAAAATCAGCGCCCCCCCCCCCCCCCCCCCCCCTTTCTCGTTGCTACTCCCTTGCACCGCCCAGCTGCAACTACTTTACTAGGGCCCTAGGGGGAATACATTCCACTCCTCTCAAATACAATGGCCTCGGCGCGGACAGGTTTTCTGGGCTTGGCGAGAGCCATCTATCGTCGAAGGTCTCGCCTATCGGGCGGTAAATGATGATGATTATGATGGTTGTTCTACATACCAAATTCATTGTTGTGGAAAGGCTCGAGACACGTGCCGCGCACCACTTCTAGGAAGTACATGGCGTCTAAAATCTAGCTCAGTGCTGCGCCAAATGCTTTGCTGCGCTGTGCTGCCATGATCTTCCCAAGGATTGCACGTTGCGCTTGCCTCGTGCATCGACGCACCTTGCGCTACTTTTGAAACATGAAGGGGCTTTGAGTGGAATCGGAGACGACACCGCCCGCGGCCGCCGCGAACATCCACGTGCATATGCGTGTGGACTGACGCGGACCTCCCCTCCGCAGGCCTGGATTCGGCGCTAAATGCGTTCTGTCTAATGCAAATGAGCGGAGTGGGATGTATTGTCCCTAAAAAAGCATTTGCTGCACCCGAGGCGTCCCCCCCCCCCCCCCCCTCCCCCACCCTCTATTGACTACTAGTGATACTACAGGTTGTATTCACTGGCGGTCATAGCTGAGCTCGCTGCTGCTTTCGAACCACGGTGGAAGAGAGGGGAAAGCTGCTTTTGTACGAATTTCGAGTGAAAGTTAATTTTTTATAATCTTCTGGAGGGAGAATAGCGATGTCTGGGGAAGCCTGGGACATACAAAGGAAAGTCCCGGTGAGAAGAGAGTTCCTCCTGCCCTTCTTCTCTTGTGATTGCCCGAGAGCTGACGGGAAACTCCTCCCGAGCATGTGCTGTGAGCAGTTACCTCAAATATGGCGTCCAGGGAATACGCTATTAGATGGTGCATGGACCTCATTCCAGTAAGCCTCTGTGCAAGCATACACCATCTCCCCTAACTCTTTCTTCCCGCTGTCGCCCTTTTCAGTGTGTACCGTTTGTCAGATAAAGATAAGAAAGACAATGCGAAGGGGAAAAGGGCATTAACTGGAGAGAAGCGACCTCCTTCCCTTACGACTTTTCTTGTGCTCACCCCTTTCCCCTTTGCACCGTCTTTCTTATGTTGCATCAGACTGACCCCCACAATCAGCGCCTATCTTCGCACATATTTTGTCTATTAAGTACAAACGAGCGTGTTGGTAACAGTAATTAAACATGAGGAAGATACATAGAAAGGGGGGACGGACAACGAAGACTTCCAACTAGCAACAACATTTATTGACCCGAAGGAGGGGAGGTTGAAAGACGCTACACTGGAAAGTGGGAAAGCGATGGGAGAGGGTGTAGAGCCAGGGAACAACCAGGGAAGCGATTAGATGTCAACCCCACGGGATCGTCCTTCACTTACCTGGCTCTACACCCCCTCCCATTGCTTTCCCACTTTCCAGTGTAGCGTCTTTCACCCTCCCCCCTTTCACCTATATATGCAAACTTTGGGTCAATAAATGTTGTTGCTAGTTGGAAGTCTTCGTTGTCCGTCCCCCCTTTCTATGTATCTTCCTCGTGTTTAATTTTGTCTATTTTGACGATTCTTTGAGCATTGGTAGTATGGGGCATAAAAAGCGATGAAAACTGATACAACTGCACAATGCCAATATGTTCTTACGGCAAGACGCATTTGTAGTTCGCAGAGGATCCCCCAGACCGCCCATTACTCAATAAAGATTCATTGCTAATCATACCACAGGACAAGTTTGAAAAAAGTCAAAAAATACTCGTGAAATGCTCGACACTTAAAACTTTCCTCACTGACCAGGTCTGGTGAACCATCTGAGGCTGCTTTCGCAAGGGCACCTGAGTGGTCGCAGACTTATCTTTATCAGGTACAGTGGCCTTTTCACACTACTTCAGAGGTATAATTATTGGGTACGCATGTTGCCACCTATTGCTGAAAATACACACGCAACCAGGGTTTTCACTGTTCCATTGCAGTTGAGAGATGCACGTGGAGGACTCGACAGTCGGTGTGTTTGCTCTTGCAGCTATTTTCCTCAAGATACAAACACTAGCGTGCTTAGCTTATGGAAGTTTAGGTAAGAGCTTACTGACCTTGGAGCAGTCAAATAAAATAAAGGAATTTGCATTTCATTGCAGATGAGGAGGAACATTCGAGGTTTACAAATCTGAACCAATTTGCAAGTGCGTTCTGCGAGTTCTTTATTTTGATGTACCTCTTGGGTGAGTAACATCCAAGCCTCAATTCAATTCGTAGCTTGCAATTTCTTCATGATTATAACAGAGATATTTTGCGTGTCCACATTCATTTTCAGATTTTATTGCTGCGAACCAGCTCGACATTCTGAGGTAGTATAATTATGATGTCATTTCATACTAATTCACAGCAATTCAATTTTGATAGCTGAAAGGCCACTAGGCCATCCTAAGAAGCATATTACTGCCTAAGTAGCATGACCCTGCCACATTGGCAACGAAAGCTGAAAATAAATAGGTAAGGTGAAGTTTACTAAACAAACATCATGCCCTGGCACCCAAAACCACACAGTTGTGGGGTTTGGGTGCCAGGATGTTTCAAGAGGGCATATTATGTCCAGCGCTTTCTCTCCCCCATTGCAAAGCTATAAGATGCAACATACATTCTTCTTGAAAACCTGTGGTAAAATATTGCAACCTGTATTTCAGTGGTATGCCCTGCATTACGGGTACAGTTGCTCCTACCGAGATCTGAGCCACATACCATCCCAAGTCAGTTCCTGCAGAAGCATACTATGTATATCCAAGACAAGTTTGTCTACAAATTGCTCACAATTTCTCTGGTGTTGAACTTCATCCTGCTTGTTCTTACAATGCAAGTCTGTCGCTGGTACCGTGAGTATGACTCTTGAACTGCACAAATGTCGCTATATTTAAGTTAGATTCGTTCGAACCTGGGGCACCGTTTTCAATGAGCAATGAGAAGTACTGCTTGGAAAAAATGTAAAGGTATGCATACTTTTGTTTTTGCATCCCCTAATATCAAGATTAAAAACACCCAAATCAAACTAACATGTGTCTTCAAACGATTTCAAAGAGCTGATGTTTACTTTTTTTAGCCATTAAAGCCCTGCACAACTATCTCAGCCGGCTATCAGGGTACTTGACCATCCTGGTCATTTATGGTAAGTGAGCTTCATTAAGAGCTTTAAAGTAGTAACCAGGTTTCCTGCTGCACTTTTACTCAAGAGGAAAGGGTTAGTGATTTCATAGCTTTTTTCTGGTCTTTCTATCTTTACAGCAGAGTTTAGTGAAGAACTTGTAGAAAAGGAATGCATGAGCTAGCGTTTCAGACAACCATTGGTTCCGTAAGTTATTGTATTTGCACTAGCTGTTTACACTACCTGACTCCTCATTACTTATCATTCGGGTGTCTTCTGCCGCAAAATTGTGAGAGCAAAACGAACAGTCCTACTATTTGTACACTAGCAAGTTATTTGACTTCCAAGGTGCATAAATAATTTAGAAAGCCATACTGCAAGAACGTTTAAAACACAAATAGAAGCCATTGATGACCAAAAAAAGAACAGGGTGAATAGTGGTTTCAGTGCAGGTTTCATTCATACAAATACTCTCTTTACAGATGGACATGAAAACAGCTTTCTGCTTCGACTGACTGAAATGGAAAATCAATAAATTCAACAGCAGTCAATTCAATTAAACATGGATGTCCTCGTTTGGCTCACAGCTATGTGCAAGTACATCTATAGCAGTGGCGTCACGAGGGGGGGGCATGAAGGGGGGTGGGGGGACCGCCCCGGGTGCAGTGCTTTGGGGGGGTGTCGCGGCGGGCGGCGAGCAGGGGGATGGGCGGGGGGAAATTGGAGGCGGGCAACGAGCCGGGGGGGAGGGAAAGGGGGTCGCCGAGAACCACCGCCCCGGGTGCCGCTGACCCTAGTGACGCCACTGATCTATAGGACCCTTTCTATTTTATTCCCTAGAATGCAAGACACACATACCTTGCACACACTCTTCGAGCATACTGTGAAGAAATAGGGCTGCATATGAATGTGTAACAATTATATTTCAAACAATCTAGTCCTCTTAGCTACATGGCAACCATTGCAAACACTAGAGCATATCATCACCCATTAACAAATGTCACTCTTTCCACTGTCTGATGACAGGGGCAGGCAGCATATGTACATGCTCAGAAGTCCACATTAATACAGGTAGGCATGAATGAGACGATCAAAGAAAAATATCAGCTCTATATTCCACCTTGGAAGATGAGTACAGCACTGGGAAAAGCCCTGGCCCCACATATGTAGTTTGGTGTAGTGCAACAAATCACTAGGAAGTTGACTTAACTGAAACACTTCAAAGTGTTGCATCTCCTAGGGCTTGCACAGTGCTGTGCTCAACCTGAAAGATGGAGCATATAACCCCTGAACTTTGCAGAACTTATAGGCAGTCTGCCCGTCCCCAACTGCCCCAATCGTTGCAGCAGCAAAGACAAATAGCTGGTTTGGAAAAACTGCAGTTCTTTCTGCAAAGCCCAGAGATATCGGTCCGTCTACGAGAAATGAGCAAGCACGTTCCCACTGCAGAGCCTTCTACAACAGCCAACAGCTCCGCTCTGGTCCCACAGACGGGAGCATGTGAGCACGTTCTCGGAGACGATGCCTTTGTTACATACACTCTCCTAGCATAGCCCCGACTATGAAGTAGACTACATTGACTCCCAGAGAAGACCCTCCTGTACACCAGGCTTGGCTAGAAAGTGCTATCCGATGATGAGTCCGCAGCCAAACCGACTCTGGTTCTTGGCATGGTTGAGCATGCCACTCAGGGCAAACGAGAAAGGCAGCGGGTGCAGCTTCTTTTCGAGGACGGCCCCCACCGTCCAGTTGCTGTCCACCATGCCCCGGAAGACGAGGTTCGCCTTGGGAAGGTCGACCTGGTAGCCGATTGACGCCACGCTCTCGCCAGCCCTGTAGTTGGTCTCCACTTCGACGCCCACCTGGGTCGTCTCGCTGCCGCGGTGGTAGTAGCAGCAGTGCGCGCCCGCCATGCCCACGGTGCCGCTCACCACGTAGTTCGGTCCCGTGTAGCGGCCGGCCATCGACAAGACCGCAATTTCGCCGCCGGGCACCTGTGGGCCGTACTGGTAGGCCAGCTCGGCGCCCAGCGCGACGTTGGGCGTCACGTTCTGCAGGTAGTGAGACACGACGACGCCCGAGCCACCCAAGACGTCGATGTTGCCAAACGTGGCGGACGCGGTGTATGAGGGGGCCCGGTAGTCGGCTGTGAGCTGCGTGGCCACGTACCGCGAGTCTTGGATCTGAGCCGCCACCTTGGTGCGGAGCTGCGGCGTGAACTGGTGGATGATGTTGGCGTTGAGGTTGCCGCTGGGGTCGATGTCGCCCAGCAGGACCGGGTACGCTTCCGAAGGACTGAACTGCTGAGTGCCGACGTAGGTGGCGCCGAAGCGGTACCCCGACGGGGTAACCGAGCTCATGTTGAGGGTATGACTGATCTGGAAGTGGTTGCTCAGGCCCTTGTTCACCATGAGCCGGCCCCCTTCGAAGTTTACCGGAAAAATGTCCTTACATTTCTTGTGTAGGTCTTCTAGCGTGCCCGGGTTCTGGATTTCCTCCTGCTGCAGGCCCGGCGGCTGCCGCGGCTCCGACGGATCCGGCAGCGAAGATGGGGGCGCCGGCGGTGCCAGAGCCGGCGTCGGGGGAAGAGGACTGGTCGCGAATACGTTGCCCATCTTGAAGTCACTTTGCGGTTACCTTAGTTCTCGCGGATTTCGTCTGCTCCAGATGACGGGGTGCTTTATTAAACTTTCGGCTGCCAATCTATGGGAACACGTGTTGTAAATTCATGAAAAAGCGAGTCCACCATAGACGGGCAGCAAGTGATTTACGCGGTGGCGGCTCCTTGCGGAGCGCGCGTGAAACGAACGAAACGGGAAATTATTGCCGAGCGGTCAAACCGACCAAATTCGATCGCAAACCAATTTATTATTTTAGAGAATTTGTATAATAAAAAAAAACTACGTAAATTATATTAGTTGTATAGTGATGCTCGAAGCCGAGCAGAGCGGTCGCAAGCCCATCGACTGTCCGGTGGCCGCAGTGGCCGCAGTCGCCGCCGCGCCCGCTTTTGTTTTTGTTTGCGTTTGAGGCTGGCGCCGACTCCCCATCGGCGCACACATGTTATTCGGCGGCCTCAGAAATATGGCGGATAGTGCTAGCGAGAGTGATAGCAGCTCGGTGGACGGGGCAATGGTGGCCCCGTCTCCGCTGACGCGCGAGCAGTTTCAGAAGCGCGTCGAATCCCTGCAGCAGGAGAACCGGGTGCTCAAGATGGAGCTGGAAACCTACCGACTCAGGGTCAAGACGCTCCAAGAGGAGAACCGCGAGCTGCGACAAGTCAGCGTCAACATCGTGAGGCCTAACGTTTTGACACTAAACAAACATTTCGGGCCGGCGTTTGGCGGCCCACTTGTGGCGGACAGCGTACCGCGAAGACGCGCCGTTATTCCTTCGCTCCGACCTCGATCGACGAACGTGCGCTGCGGCGCCTTATTTGCAGCGTGGGAAGCAAACGCCGCCGATCGGATTGCATGTGGCGGGGCCAACGCCAAAATCGCAGCACCCCGGTTGATTCGGCGTTGTCGGATTTGGTGTGTGCGGCTTGCAGCTGCTGCCTGGGGGGTCTTTTTAAAGAGGAGTTCGACGCGTTTTTTCTGGACTGTCTGGCGGTGACGAAAGGCCTTGTCTTTTACAGCAAGCCAAAGCCGAACAGGAGGAGGAGTTCATCAGCAACACGCTCTTGAAGAAGATCCAGGCTCTGAAGAAAGAAAAAGAGACTTTGGCCCTGAATTACGAGCAGGAGGAAGAATGCCTTACGAACGACCTGTCACGCAAACTAAATCAGGTGGGAACCGAACTCTGTATTTTTGTGCTTTTCTAATACGAGGAAGGAGGCATCACGTGAATATACAGAACCACTTCTACTTTTTTTTTGGAGTATTATTATTATTATTATTTTGCGTAAAGAGGAAAACCTAGAATTGCCTGTGACTTTAAGCTTGTTTGGAAAAGTTGGGGTATTAAGCGATACCGTAACACAAAATAAATGAGGAAGTAATGCGTGATGAAATTGGGGGTCTTGCTACCTCAATCTCATGAACATTTGCCTACAGAATAGATGCACACATGATTCGAAGGAGTGAGCAGTTAGAGAGAGATTGAACAAATTGTAATAGCTGGTTGAATTAGCTCAAAAGACAACTTTTTTTCAAAAGCATAGTAGTTCGGTGTTTTCAGCTAGTCCTTGAAATAGTGTTCTATTTAATTTCACTGAAATTTGCTATTAAGACCTGAAATCTCTATCCTGAGCCCAATTTTTTAATTTGCTCTTGATTATGACGGTGTACGGCGCAGTATCAAAAAGTCTCCAAACTGGCAACACTAAACAAAAACAAAGTGGCTAGGTGGTGCAAGCTACTGCCTGTTGTAAAGGATACAGCTGTTGGCATCCATCCATCCATCCAGCAGTACTGCCGTGCGAAATCAGGTGGACCTCGCAGGTCGATTTGCATGTCAGTACATTAAAATTTATTGTGCGGAGTGAAAGTGATTTCAGGTTGCAATTTTTTGTTATAATTATTTTGCCACTTAAGATGAATAAACAAGAAAGGACTTGAACAGAATGCACGCTCCAGATTTTGTGTAAAAATTAGTGAGACCGTAAGTCAGAAACCCAGAAACTGCCACAGCAAACATTTAAGTTTTTCTAGAAAAGGTGCTACTTTCTGTTAGCGGCATTATTGATTTAAGCAAGGTCAAGCTTCGCTCGAAGACTATGAATAACCAGCACTCCCTTCAACAAGCGTTATCTTTTGAAAGTATAGAGAAGAAAAAAAAAAAAAAAATTTGCTCATTAATTTATGAAGAACACCAGAGGAATGTTTCCGACATATGAACAACTTGACATTATAGTCACTGACAGGGAACAGCAAGGTGTGTCTTCCGAATGCCCAGCCTTCAGCACGGGACCTGTGCCTTCCATTGTGCTTTGGCGGTGCAAGCTCGCTTGAGTTGCACGAGACACCCAAGCACTATCAAAAGTAGAAAGCTCATGGTGGGACAACTGAATGACATCCCTGCTAGTCTCACGTTGCCAGTGACTATGGTTAACGTTCAGCCGAGGCTGTTTCGACTGACAAATTAAGTGCGAGATGGATCGCCGCCACATTGATGCCACGCATACTGACGTCTGAAAAAAAGTTAAAAAAGTAAGCAACTCTGCCAGGACCTTGAGGACAAGGTTTCTGGTTCAGAGCAAGCCAATGGCCATCTCTCGCCCTCCATATTCTCCTCTTTTGGCCGTCTGCGGCTTAATTATCTCCTCCAAAATAAAGACGAGGATTGCCCCACTCAGCCTGAAAAAAGGGGACTCTCTTCTGGAAATGGAAGACTCACTACAGCCGCCATATTACCTCAAAAGGGAACCACATCGAGGGAAATAATAGCCTAAGGAACCTGAGGTCACCTCGTGCGTTTTTATGGGGCGAGTTAGGAAACTTTTTGTTCGTACCACCTCCTACGTATGAGGCACGTTGTCTGAAGGCGGTGCGTGCCCCCCACCCTGACCTTGCAGCTGCGTCAGGAGAAGGTGCAGCTGGAGCAGAGCCTGGAGCAGGAGCAGGAGGCCCTGGTGAACAAGCTGATGCGCAAGATTGAACGCCTCGAGGCCCAGACCCTGGCCAAGCAGTCCAACCTGGAGCAGCTGCGCAGGGAAAAGGTATTCCCGCCCCTCCTCTCGCCCGAGGGTCTGAAGCGTGGCTGGCATTTGGCACGCGGTGGCCCCGCTCTGGCCAACACCACTTAGAAATATTGAAACCCGCGCGCTAATTGGCGTCGTTGCGGTGGGATCGAGCGAAGGTAGAGATTAGAAACTAGGGCTGGTGACGGCTATCGGCTGGACCTCATCTCCAAAGACACTCGGCACCGAGCTCGGGTTGAATTCCAGAGTTGGCACCGTCCGACTGCGACAATGTTTCATGGAAGAAGAAAAAGATGCTCGCTGGCCTCGATTATTCCGGAAGGTGTTGCTTTGGCGGCGGGACCGTGCAGCTGCCGGCAAGCCCCTTCAGGCTGAGTTGCTCGTCGTCTTCCGACGCATTACGATTATTTTGGGGGAATCGCAGAGAAAGAAGAAGTCGAGGCCCAACGAGCGTGGGCATGGCTCGTACTTCTTTTTCTCGTCCAGACACTGGGTGTTGGCTGTTCGGTAGAAAGCGTGACCTTGTTGCGTAATCTTTGTTATCGTAGCATAAGGCTACTGCTGAAGTTGTGCCTCATTTCACGAGAACTCTCGAAATGGCCGAACCTACAGCCCCGGCGAGCCAGTCGGGGCCAGAACAAGGCACGTGTGTTCCAAACTGATTTCTTTTACCCAGTTATATTATGCAAAATATGTCTGAAGAGAGGGTGGGTAACAGTCCGTCGCATCTGCTTCATTCCTGAATTTATAGGTAGGTTCTCCCCCTTTTGGAAACTTTACTTACCGTAATAACCTACTTTTTGGGGCGAATATTTATTTCCAAATAAACAGAGTGATCGTCCATCCCTACAAATATCTCACCGCGGAATCCGTGATCTGTGAGCGTTTATCCTGTCCGAATGACGCAAACGTTACAGTTGGAGGGCTTCCGTGACAAAGCGAAACGAAGGAGGGAAAGACACTTCACTTTGTTTACCCATTTCGTCCCAAACTTCCACAATCCCAAAGTCTGAGTATATGCACGTGAAAGGAAAACGATGGAGATAACAAAGTTAAACTTTGTTTTGCTTGCAAAAAAGTTCCTTCGGACAAAAAAAAAAAATAAAGTCGGAAAGATAACATATTCTGGAATTTAAGGAGTGTAAGGTCAAAGTGCGTCTCCACCGAAAGAAGCTCACGTCGAACCGGCTCCTCCTCTCGGAACGTCGCGACCTAATAGGGTTGTGCAATGTTTGAGACAAGCCAATGGGTAAATAAAGACTTGCTGGAACCTCGCATACAGCTGCTTGTAAAGCGTTCCATTTTGAGCTGCATGTTTGTGGTGCCATCCATACCACGCAGAAACGCCACCTCAACTTTCATTGATAGCACACCACGCACACACGCATGGACCAAACAAGAAAGTTGCACAAGAGCCTGCTCCTCGTGATTGACAAGGTGCCAAACTTGGCCCAATGCCAAAGTATTTGCCAATGCAATCAGGCTTTCCCGGTTCCCCAGCATCGCTCTTTGTCGCTTCTTTCGCCCGCTTGTTGCGTCTGGTTGGTTTTTTTATTTTCCTGTCGACTCTTTTTTATTTTTGCTAACGAAGAGAACATAGCTGTGTTGGAAACAGGCTTTCACGGAAGAAACATTTGCGCTGTATGCCGATCGGCGGTGTTCATCGCGCGTATGCAAGCAACTGACTTAGTGATAGTAAAACTTTCATAAGTATTTCTTGCATAAAGCAATGAAACTAACATGAGTTTGAAATTTAATCTAGCTTTTATGCAGCCGCACTGAATATGTATAAAAAAAATTGGAGTTTTATTTAGCTTTTTCTAAACTTTTTGTGCTTACCCACCGAGTCATGGCCCACCCCACTTTTTGTATGAATTTTAGGTGGCAGGAAGCAGGCGATAACTCAAAATAATACAGTATTCAGCTTTCTTTCTTTTTTTTTTTTTTGCTGTATTTTAGTGTTTTATTCATTTATTTTTGCTTTATCTTTTTATTTTGGGATCTTCCACTGTCTAACACCAGCCCTTGTCTGAGGTGTGCCTGAAGAGCGCTTCAAACACTTATATTTGAGAACCTCCTACTGGTGTCCCAAGCTTCTTTTTTACATCCTTCTTTTTGCCGACTAAGTGTGTTTCGTTACACGGACATGTTTCGTGCATCCTTTGCAGGTTGATAGGGCACTACAGTGATTAAAAAGTTTGTCTATTTATAATCAAATCATCCCTAAAAGGTAAAGAAATCGTGATTTTGCATGCTTTTTCCTCCCTCGTTACCAGTGTGACGAAACATTGTCAAACACATCTTCGGGGGGAAAAGGGTTACATATGATCATTGTTTTTTTTGTTTTTTTTACTTTTAGGGTCGGTTCACATGTACTATCGGGGAAACATGAAATGCGGACAGAGGAGCGCGTGGCTCGCGTTACAGGCTGCGCCACCTGGAAGTGAGCCTAGGGGCGAGGGTGCGTGGCCTACTTCGATGTGTTCATGCCCCTCGCTCAGTGCTCCCCAAGCTTCGGCAGCACGCCTCTTAGTACGCTGAAAGCTATCACCGCTATCTTTGCTGGCTCAGCGCGTGCGGTGCGAAGAAGCTCGCCGCACGCGCCGAGCGAGCAAAGATAGCGGTGATAGCTTTCAGCGCACTGAGAGGCGCACTGCCGAAGCTTGGGGAGCGCAGAGCGAAGGGCGTGAACACATCGGAGTAGGCCACGCACTCTCGCTCCTATGCTCACTTCCAGGTGGCGCAGCCTGTACCGCGAGCCACGCACTCCTCTGTTCGCATTTAATTTTTCCCCGATAGTACATCTCAGCACTATATCAGTACTGATGCAGAGCTGTATCACAAATATAGTACAAAGCACTGCATCAGCAAGTTCAGCGCTGTTTCCATTGCTGACTACAGTAAAATCCCATAAGGGCACCCACCCCCGAAAGACCGCCCATCCCGTTTCGTTTCTGGTTAAATATCTGTAACATGAAAATGCCGAAACATCACCCACCACCCCAACTCCCGTCGGACGGGATGTCCGACGGGAACCATGTCAACTGCGCAATATGCGGTACCGGTATGTATGACAAGCGAATTCGCAGTGGGATCTCGCGTTTTTGTCCGTGGTCTGCGTCTGCGATATCGGTTCCCATGGCAAGCAAGTTTGTAGTTGAATTCCGCTTGTTTATCTCACCGTGAAATGGGAACCTGCTGGATCAGCTGTCTGCCTTTCCCGCGACGCTGGAGTTTGTAGCGAATTCCTGCATGTTTATCGCGGTAGGCAACTTGAATTTCCCGTGTTTGCGATCTGCGGTCTCGCATCTCGCGTCACATGGTTTGTGGCGGACGCCCCAGCATTTACCATTAATCCTTGATAAAGTTTCGCCATCTCATCCTTAAAGATAGCCCACCTCATGCTTTCATCACATACCTCTTCATTTCGGCTGGGTGCCCTTACGGGATTTTATGGTAGTAGTGCCGCGACGGACGTGCGAACAGCCTTTGGGACACATAGTTTGCGCCTTAAAAAGTCAGTTTCGGACCCCACTTTAACGCCCTCTTAAAGGGCAACTCCGGCCAAAACTCAAAATGAATTAAATTATTGGTATCGCTTTAGTGACACAAAATACGACCCCAGCCAAAATTTCACGTCCGTGGGACGCCGCATTCTCAACTAATGCCGATAGTAAAAACGCGACCCGCCGCGAGCCGCTGCTCCTTAGCGGGCGGCCAGCGGGTTGCCGATCGCTAAAGCAACAATGGGCCGTGATGTCAACATCGTTCTCTTTTTATCCTTCGTTCCGGACGGGCGCACGGCGCAGCCGTCGCGCGCGCTTCTTTGTGCCACTTTTACCGCTACTTCGGCTTGTAATTGCGTGCTTAGCCGTTGCTTTTACCTGTAGCCCGTGTAGCTTCGGTATAGCCTTTTGTTTATTTGCTTGTGAGGACTCCTAGACTCATTTTAGCGAGCAACTCGGCACGCCCAAGACTCCCCAGCTGTTCCTCGAAAGATGCCGAGTACAACTTGTAGCCGCTGCGCAACCCGGAGGTTCCTTTTCACAAGTTTCCAAGGGATCGGAAATCGGAGAAGGTGTGGGTGAATGCTGTTCGACGAGTGAACTTTGGAAAGCCTTGGACGTCGACCCCCAGATCGAAGCTCTGCTCCGATCATTTTTCGCCGGAGAGTTACGAACGAAACCTACAGGTGTTGGTTGCTTGTGGCTTGTCAGCGAAGGGGTCGAGGCTTAAAAAGGATGCCGTGCCGTCGCTCTTTGCCCATCGTACATGTACAGAAAAGGTAAACATGATAAAAGTATCCTGATCAATAAATAAAACAGTCATTGCCAAGTGCAGTGTCAAAGATTGAGCATTCACGCTCCATTGAATGTCTGTTGAATGGGGAATGTGGGCATGTAGAGTACAACCACTAACTAGCTCCAAACACTGAAGTTTGTAATGAAAACGAAAACAATGTTCTGCTTTGCGTCACTGCTTGTTTACTACGCAATCTCGTGCGTAATATTCAGGTCCGTAACGACTACTAGCGAACAGCCGGCGCGTGAAGCTCATGCGATATAAACATTCGCCTCCCAATCGTTCAAACCCGTTACGCAGCAGTATTAATTAACTTTGCGCTTGTGAATACTACAAGGGACTTTAAAGAAATCGTGAAAGTTCGGATTTGTAAGTTACAACTCTCTAATTTGCCCAAGTTCGGCTGGAGGTAAATATAATATTTAAAAATGCAAAAGAAAAAAAAAACACTTTCTTTAGTCAAAAGTTACGAAGGAAAACTTAAAATCCTATGTATTCTAATAAAAAAAATTGTGGGTGGGGGTGGGAATGTGAAAGGGAAAGAAAGTGTTCTCACCTTGCTAACGTCCTCTGTTTTCCTTTATCACCCACAAAAGCGTTTGCTAGCTTTGAGAAGAAAATGACTGCCCAAAGAACTTGTTTTTTTTTTAGTGCGGCAAGTTTTTTTTTTATTTGTACAAAGATTCACTACCTGGACGAACTTATGATGTGAATTAGTGTCGTAGCTTACAAATTCGGCTTTTACGCGCCTGAGGAAAAAATAACGAGAAACAGACGTCTACAGCTTGACACACGTCTGTTCGGTTGTCGCGGAACGCGCAGGAGAGCCTCAAAGCTTCGTGTCTGGGACTGATCCGCCGCGCGAAAGTGCCAGCACGGTACATCATTGGCAGCGCGGCGTAGAGCAACGCCGCTCTATCCATGGAGCCCCGATGACAATTTAGGCCTAGCGACGAGTGCGGGAGACCGCACGCACGCCGACAGCTGCCGAGTACGGCACCGACGAGTTCACTCGTTTTCCAGTCGCCAGCTTTTGGGTATACAAGCAACGAATACGGCACGGCATAGCGCACGCGCGACGGCGGCGCCCGCCGAGTACGCCACCGAACTGACGGGTTTTCCAGTCGCTAGCTTTTGGGTATACGCACTAACTCTTGCTACATATGCTGGATAACTACCACGTATACAGAATTAAAACAAAATCAGCTTACCTTCTATCTTTAGACGGCTAGCGCAACAGAAGTAGGTGCCGCTTGGACTGCGTACTCGCTGAACGAGAACGATCTTGGCGTCACGTCCACATAGCGGCTGATTTCCAGTGTTGACAGAACCTCGAGCGAGTAGTTTCGGTTTTGTCGGCCGCGCCCCAAACAAAACTTTGAGACGTCGATATCTTTAAAACTACGCACAATAACGAGAAAAAAATTACACCTTGCAATTCAGGGGCGCTAACTGCACAAAAAACAGCCATAATCCCAAAATCGAAAGTATGGACCGGAGTTGCCCTTTAAGCACGGAAGTTGTGCCCTTCGTGACCGCCCTGTTTGCCCCCTTTGCCAGGTGGAGCTTGAGAGCACCCTGGAGCAAGAGCAGGAGGCCCTGGTGAACCGGCTGTGGAAGCGCATGGACAAGCTGGAGGCGGAGAAGCGGCTGCTGCAGGAGCGGCTGGAGCAGCCCCCTTCGGCACCCCCGTCTCCCAGGGACCCCTCGAGGGACACCCCAGCCGCCCTCGGCGCCCACGTGGCCCGGCTCAGGGGAGAGCTGGCTCGCCTGCGAGCCCAGCTGCACGACACCCAGCAGGAGCGTGAGTACCCCCTCCTTTTCATTCCGGCGTCCCGTCCCGCCCACTTGCCAAAAAGTGCTACCCAAGTGGCAACGAGTGATGTTGCGGAAGCCGATAAACTGTTGGGTCATAGTTGCAGAAAGCAACTCTTACCTAGTTTATTTTATGTACTGTCATGGACAATAGACCAATGTCACCAAGCGAACTGTGCAGGCACACGCATTCCAGAAGTAGTACCGCCGCCGTGCTACTTGTAGTCATCCCTTTCCGGCTTCCCGGCTACATAAGGTTGCGCATACATCAGTTGGGACGCCCCGGTATGGGCTTGAGTCTCCTGCATGTATGTACTTCATAAGATTGTGTTGTTTGTGATGCTTTAGTTTGTCAGCAAGCGCAGAAAAGCAGTTCCAGTCGTCTTATCGCTTTAGAATCGCTTTGTCGTCTGCTTCGTCGTCATCTGCTTCTTCGTCTTCGTGAACGCGTGAGCCCACTGCCGGTCACGCGGTGATCCCACTGCGGCCGCGGGAAAAAAAAAAAACAATGACGCTACTACTCCAGCATTCCGGCTGCTCGGACGTCTCAATTAACTTGGAAACAAGTGAACATCTAGTGCTATGGCAAAGAACAAGAAAACTCGAGGGACCATCGGCTCGGTGTAGCACCGCGGAAGAGCATCAAATGTGTTAGTGGAAAACTGAGCTTGGTAGTGCTCAGTCTTGTGCATAACGTTTAATCAACAATGGAGTAAGAGAAGCTAAATAGACCTTCTCGGTGAGCGATAGTTTTCTAAAAGTTGTTTTACTCTAGTTGACAGCCTGTGTATTCGGTTTTATTTTGTTTGCGCAAGCTCCAAACGTAACAGTCGCCCGACAGGGGAAGCTTTTTTCTGCGGTCTTGATTGGTGTTAATGCAGAATGGATGAGTAACGTCAGCCTAATAGACCACCACAATATGGATGAGGATCGTTTGTTACATTTTCGGCGGTAAGTTTTGCACTTCTAAATTGCATTATGTGGTGTTTTCACATTTGTATGAAAGCAAAAACAAAAAGTGAAGTCAGCTTCCGAAAAAAAGTTGTTTTATTTCAAGTGATGCATATTGGGAATCGCTGCTCTATTTTTAGTGATTGTCCTGTTTTAAAGCACAGTTGTGCTTGAAACATGTCGTCGCGATAACAGTTATAACCATTAAAATACATCAGGCAAAAAGTGTATTAAAAGCGGCCTCCTTTTTGAGATAGACCAACGGATAGAATGCTAAGGGGGATTCCAGCGTAAGGAACACTTGGCACGTTCTGTCTCATGCCCTGTAATTTCACACATTTTTGAGGAATTGCAATAGCGCCCTCTCTGGGTGGCACCATTTTGTTCGACAGCAGCGCCCTCTCCATACATCCGGGAAATTCAGCGGGTTCGGCGGGGTAAAACGAGAGAGAGGGCGCGCGCCCGATTTCGCTAGCAGACGACAGAACGGGAGGTTGCTATTCTCCATCTTTGGGCTGTATCGGCGGGCTATACAGAACATCGAACTCTCACTCGTGGCTGCGGTTGTGAAGTGATTCGCATTCTTACAATAGTTATGGCTACTCAAAAATCAGCCTAGAGCTTTCGGTTCTACTTCGGTAAATGATCAACTGCCATATCTGTTTTCCGTTACTTAAATAGCAGTTGAGTCAGCCGGCAGTACTACCGTCAACTACTGCGTGTATTGCGGCAGGAGAGCATGTTTTTAACTATTATTTCAGACATCCACTCAAGGTCGCTAAAGGCCTACCCCAGTACGAACTTTGTATAGTAAAAAAGGTACAGCCACAGGATTCACTTTTCGCCGGAGAGACCGGCGAGTCTGACACAGTTTTCTCTATTTTCTTTTATTTGCACGCAGATAACAGCGCAATTGGACTCTGTTAGTCTTTTTTATCTAGCATAGTAATACACGATAACTGGCATACCAAAATCTGCGCATCTGCGTTTGAAGTTCCCAAAATGACGCGATTTTAAACAGAGTTTGTACGCCAGCCGGATGCTAGGTACTGCCCACTCGGCGGAGCAGACGACATGCGGGCGAGAGGGGGAGGCCGTTGTTTTCTTTGTTTACCCTCTCTGCTATGACCCTAATGGAACGGTCTATAGGATGGATATAAATTATGAAGCAAATCGCAAAACAAATCGTAAAACGCTATTTTTTCTGCCGCTCTGTCCGGCTCTGTTTACCTTTCTTTGCCATGCTTCTTTCTTTTGGGAAGACATAATATCCAAGGCCTTTTTGCCTGGTGCTGTTATAGCTTCGTGGCATACAACAGGTGAAGACACCAATTGAAAACCATGAGTAAACACGTGTCTAAAAGTCTTGTGCTAACCCGAAAATTTTTAAACGCCGGGCATACAGTGCGCTTGATGCTGCCGGAAAACTGGAGAGAACTACAGGTACCAGTATGCACCGCAGCAGCGGTGGCGTCGTGCAACTACTGGTGAGATCGGTCTATTAAGCTGCAACAGTTCTTCGTGGTTCTTTTGTTGTATCTGCTGGTTTTTGGTAAAGCTTTGGGTCATACTAGGGGGTGGCATGTGAAACTGAGGTTTCATTCCTTTGCGTTATTTGACAATAATAGAGCTTGTGGGGATTACGAATGCAGTAAAATTTTGAATCATGCATTGCGGATTTTTTTTTTTTGTCGGGGGGGGGGGGGGGGGTACACCTTTATGGTGTATTTGCACGACAGATCTTTACCTCTGGAAAAAACAGAGTATGTTGTAGAACTGCAAGGTGGAAAGGCCATGAGAAAGAGGAGATGGTGCTGAAAATCTGGCCAGCTGTTCTCACGACAGTCGCACGTAATAGAGTCGACCCAGACGGAGGGGTGGGGTACAAAGGGAGGTTTCGCTCTGACGATAGACAGATAGCCTGTAGACAGGTTGTAGATTCTCCGCTGCTCCCTGCGAGCTCGGGGGAATAGCTAACATCCATGACGCTGCGCATATGACCTCGAAACTCGACAATGTTTCATCCTTTCCTCGTCTCCGTCGTTCGTGCAAATGTACCATTCCAGTCCTAGAGAACTAACATAGAACTTGTGGATGGAGCTTCTCCTTATTACTTGCTTGTCACCGACTACGAGTGACCTGTGATCCCCACCGATACACCGGGGAACGACGTTTGCGTGCCAACAATCGCGGTTCAGATCTCGTTCTGAAACCCGTTTATGGGTAGATATTTCGGGAAAAGAGCAGACGGCCAGGCTTTGTTTTTAAAGAGCCATCTACCGAAAAATGTGACAAGTGTGGTTTCCTCTTGCATTGCAGACCATGAGAAGGTGGCCCAGTTTGCCCAGGAGGAGCGTCAGATCCGCGAGGAGAATGTGCGCCTGCAGCGCAAGCTTCAGCTGGAGATGGATCGCAGGGAGGCCCTCTGCCGACACCTCTCAGAGTCGGAGTCTAGCCTCGAGATGGACGAGGAGAGGTGGGTGCCCCCGAAAGTGGGGACGGTAGACTAAGGCCCTCCCGCACTGCTTTGGTGCTATGACCGTCCGAAAACATCGCCGCACTCCACCAGTGTCGCATGCGGACGTGCGTGGAGGTACCTGCAGATGTGCACACTATGATTCGGCACGCCGTAGTCACTGACAAGGTGGGGCCGGGCGTTTGAAAAACACACTCTGCCACTCTCACCTTGCCAGTTACTGTAGTTCCCAGCTTATATGCGCATCTCGAACCGGCGATTGACGAACAATGCTCTGCTTCATCTTGTCCTGCGTTGTGCTGCGAAAGCCACCTCGGTGACTTCGAGGCAATGTGCTGGCCTACGGATCCCCAAGTGGCGGGTTCGGATCCCGGCCGAGGTGCCCGCAATCTGGCGGAGGCTTATTGCAGAGAAGGCGCCGTGGTAACCAAGCTTTCGGTTGCACGTCAACAAATCCCCAGGTGGTCCAAATTAATCCTCAGTCTTCCGCTGGGGCATGCCAGATGCCCGTCGTTGGTTTGGCACGTAGAACCCCCTTTTTTTCTTTTTTCTTTTTTTTTTCGCTGTTGAAGGCACAGACACGGGTGAGCAAGCCTACTAGATGCTTTGTTCGCGCAAAATGTCTTCCTAAGCTTATGCGTTTTCCTATGACTTTGTTTCCCATGAGAAGTTGTTTGACTAAGCTATAGCTAAGATTAGACAGTTGGGATTTTGAGTTTCTCGTAGTATAGTGTGTCGGAACGAAAACTTGACGTAGCATGCTACAAGCGGTGTGCTCTTGAGGATTCTCCAGGTTCCATCCCCTAGATTTTAGGCACGATACATCCTGGTTGTTGCACGAGTATCCAGCCAGTGCTGGGGGATTTCAGCTGTGTTTAACTAAGAATGTACCTTTGCTCTTTTTTTTTTTTTATTGATGTCTGTGGTTTACATTTCAGTCATCAGTTAATTTAAGGTAACATGGCCAAAACCCGATTATAGTCTGTGTTTCAGCATATCTCCAGCAAACTAATGCTCGTCAAAATTTGCAAGCTCTATTTCATACTGTTCTGGTCATGTTTCGGGCTTTCAGTGTCACGAAGGAATGTGCCCAAGAACTGTGTAGAATGCAGAGACAGGATCGTGCAATGTAAGCCCGAGAAGTGAGGGCACTAATTCATGTAGCTTCCCGGGATGGGACGAGGCAGGTGGATTCCATACCTGCTTCAAGAGTACCGTATGCAATCCCATGCCGACTTTGTCATCCCCACCTTCATTGACAAAGCTGGTACCCTGGGCGACAACCCGCAGGCACTTCAACGAGATGTCTGCCCACGGCATGCGGCCAAGGACGGTGTCCAGCCCCATCCCCTACAACCCCTCGCCAAATTCCTCGAGGCCACTGAGCCCGGGTGAGTGCTCACCTTGCCTAGAAGGGTCTGCGGCGTCCCTGTGTGAAACGGGGGGCCAAAAGTTTCCCTCGTCACATTGTATCAGACCCTACTTTGGGTTGCTTCTTCCCCTTTTGCCTCAGGGGCTCAGTGTCCTTTCCTTCAGTCCTGTTGCTCTCTACCTTGTCATGCTCTTTTAAAACAAACACTACTTTTTTTTTATGTCACATTTTTAGCAGCTTTTAAAGGGACACTGGCAGAGTATTTACTGTGGCCAAGGTTTTTATTTGTACATGACACACGAGAGCCCAACTACCCAGAACACAATTTGCGGCTCGAAATTCGTTTTCTTTTCACCCGAAAATTGCCATTCAAGAACTGGTCAGTTTGAGTCGCGCTCACTCTCTTCGCCGCGGTCACGTGCCGTTTTCTATGGTCAGACATACCACCAAAGGTAGTCAGTCATGGGTCATGAAGGCACACACTCGAGGCTAAAAATAGACAAAAAAATATGATACAGATTTTTTTTTTAGGCTTCTTAAAAACTGCATATACACTAAGAAAAGGAAAAAAATTGCACAGTTATTTGATTTTTAGTAACTTTTTCCTCCTCTATATTTCTTCCTCCTGCGCAGTTTCGGTTTCGAGCAGTTGCGTATTTTGACTTTATTAAAAATATACATGATGCTGTAACAGATAATTCATTGGGTAGTTTACAAACACCATAATAAATCTAAAAAAAAAAAATAAAAAAAAGTTTTTGAGTTTGGTGTTAGTGTTTTTTTTAAAATAACTGCATGTTGTCAGAAAGTTTCACTTCTGTAAGCTTTTGCTACGGGAGTTACTATAAATGAGTCGCAATGTAGCTTGCCGATAACTTGTTTGCTGTACAATATTATACTCTCAGTCGCCGGTTTATTACTGCGAGCTAAGGAGTTCGTACAAGCTACTCCCTGCCAATGGTAGAAGGTCCGCGGCCGCCGGTGACACGTCCGCACCCGCGATTTGTTGCCCCCGTAGGCATCCAGGGCCCCGGGATGATGCTGGGGGCAATTCCTCGGGAGGCCCTGAGCCCCTCGAGCCCCATGAACCGCTGCCAGACGTGCGGGCAGCCCCTGTTCCACCCGTCGGGGCCCGTGCCCCCTCCGGGGTTCCTGCTGCCGTCCCCGTCCCCTCCCATGGTCTCCATGCTGCCCCCACACCCTGCCGTGAGTCCCTCACCAGTGCCGCGTCATTCACCGTGTGCTCCGATCGCGGTTTCAAAGCTGAGGACGTCAGCTCGCTGCATGAGACAGTTAATGCTTTCACATTAAAAGAAATGCCACCGGTACGCACACTGAAAGCACTAAAGAATAAAAGAAAACTGCGGCAGGGGTTCTTTTGCCATATTATTTATTGCACATCGTCATCAGCGGCATTCCAATTCGTAGTCTGCTGTTTCATGACCGTGTAACTATGCTAAAGTTCTATTTCGTTGTCGTGTATATCGTACCTAGTATCGTGTGTCATAACAATTGAAGTGTAAAATGCTTTTTATTGCTACCCTCCCAATCCCAAAATTTTGTCCGTCCATGCATTTTTCGCGGGAAAGTGGCGTCTTGCGACATCACTTGCTGTCATGTGGCCACCTACAAGTCAACTATTTCCCCGCTAAATTTAGCAGGAAAATTCGCGATTTGCGGCCAGAAGATCAATTCAGTTTCCCCGTTAAATTTAGCGGGAAATTTACGTCACATGACCTATACACCAATTCAGTTACCCCCTAAATTTAGCCGGAAAATTCACGTCTTGTGTCCAACACGCCAATCCATTTTCCCCGCTGAATTTAGCGGGGGATATCGACGTCACATGAGCTTAGTACAACCAAGTTTCCCCGCTAACTTTAGCGGGAACATGTACGTCACGTGACGCACTAATTCCCTATAATGCATTTCATGCATTTAAGAACTTTAAAAATAAAGGTCACTGTCAATTTTTTTTTTTTTTTATATATATATATATATAGTCAGTTTTATATCTATCATTTTTGTTAACCTTCCGCACTTTGAAAATATGCTAAAGCTTTTATGTGCTTCGATTTATGCCAGCTTAGTTTTCTGGGTCACAAATAATTTGTAATTTCAAAAGTGGCAACATATTGAGTTTAAAATTAAGTATATGTATTCACTCCCCTTACTTTTCTTTTATATGTAGTATATATATTTTGCTCTAGATTAATTTTTTGTATTGAAGTGCTCGTTTAGATTTATTTATTTAGTATTTCATTATTCGTATCGTCTCGTATATTTTCCGGCCCTCGAGACTGCGACAGATCCCTAATCTGGCCCTTTGGCCGCGGCGTTTGGAGACCCTTGGTCTAGAAGGTAGTGGTGGCTGCCGTTCAAAGCAGGCCGTCTCCTCGCAGAGCTTCCCGTCGTCCAACCAGGCTCGGGCGCGCACGTCGTCGCAGGAGCGCTTCTGCAAGGGGGCCTCGGCAGCTCAGGCCGCCCCGGCCCACCACCTGCCCAGCGTGAACCCCGCCCCGCACACGATGCCGGCTGCTGCGTCCCCCATGATGGACTGACCGCTCTGCCGCCTCCCCACCCCCGCCCGACCTCTCCGTTCGGCCGCAAGAACCGCCGCACCCGACTGTGCAGTGTCCCGGAGTGCGACTCGTTGCGGCGAGAGCAGGTGACGGATGCTGTTCTCCACCCTCGCCCGGAAGGAAGACGTGGACTGGAATTCGGCCCGCCGAAGGAGCTGCGTTCGGGTCGCGTGCGGCCTGCGGCCCCACGTGCGGACCGCCATGCTCAAGGTTTAAACAGGCAGTGGCACTCCTAGATCTGTTGCGGCGCTTATTGTTTCGAGAGGCCTCATTGTTTCTCCGGTGTTGCTACCGCGTGGCCGGGGTCGGAAGGATGCTTTTGTCGTTTGCCTCGTGGTGCTGAATGCTTTATTCCCTTTTTTTTTTTTTTTACAAATGAGAGTGGAGGTATTTCTCAATGTGATTAGTCTGTTGCTTGCTTAGAGCCTGAGGTAGCTATTCTTTAGGGGTTGTCGAGTTGGTAGTTTCGGTAATCGGAACGTGGAAAGCCGGTTCTGCTTGCCGCACGCGACGTGCCAGGTAAGTTCTTACAACTGCGTGAGCGTAGAGGACATTCGGGCATTTCAAAAAGGCTGTTCTGTCTCGTGCGCACGCTGACTTTGTATGATCTGCCATTGAAGCGGTGTGTTGGATGCCGTCTGGAGGGTGCGGCTTGGAACAGAGTGTCCTTGAAAGCTTTTCGTTCCCCCGAGGCAAATCCTGCAGAGATGACTTGCCTGCTGTCAGTCGAGCTTACCATGTTCCAAATGGCAGAGTTAGTAGATTGGAAACAGGTTTAGGGAACGATCGGCTCTGTTCTCCCCTTTTAGTTCTAGTCACTATTGGATTTTGTTTTTCTTTTCCTTCAGAGGTGCAGAGCCTCATCCGTTTCTAACATTATTATTTTTAAGGCTTGGTTGACTCGGTGTCTGACCTATACCGTCGTAACTCTCTGTGGAATGGTGAGGTCTCAATTTTTGGGAGATTTGCTTTCTATGTCGCCCGTGTTGCTAACCAAGCCTCGTAGGGAAGCCACCTAACACAATTTCACGCCTCGGCATACAACTAACTGCACGTGACTCCATGAAAAACGTTTGTACAGACAAAGTTTGGTATTTTGTGAGAAGGCGTACCACTTGTTGTGGCGGTGTGGTGACCGGGTGCAACAACTGCGGCGGCTCCATTGCATTTTTGTTTATCGCGACTGTTTGTACATACAACTCTTCGCAGCCTCTCGGTTGTTTTGGCGTTCTCTTTTTAGTTGTAAATGCGTTTGGTGCCCCACGTGGTGCGGTGGTTTGTCTAATCCCTCTTGTCTTGCCCGAACGGGGTGGAAATGTAGCAAGGTGCTCACCAAACTTTCTTTATATTGAACAGTGTTTCTAGGTTTTCCAACACGGGAACCGACTGAACGTCCGGTTTTTTCTAAACGCGTCCGTGACCATGTAGCGCCACGGTCTCTGTAGGTGCGTAAAAGTAGATGTTGCGGAGTGTCTCTAGGCACTGTGTGTGTGTGTGTGTGTGTAAATGCAACCGGTGTGACCGAGTGGTCCAGTTTGAATGAGGGTCTTTAGAGGGCATTGCAGCAGTTGGGGTAGGGAGGGAGGGGGCAGGGGTTGTCCTGTTGTGTTGAAGGTTTGAAGGTACACATAGGAAAGTTGTTGCCACACGCCCCGTCAAGTTTCAAACTTTGAGGCTTCCAGAGTATAGCGGAGGTTGCGCGCCGTTGCTTTTGTACGTGGTTTGTTCTGTGAGCGTATGTCCTCTCGAAACATTACTGTAGCCTCTGACTGTGATATCGAATGTGTAAGCCCCCAAGTCGAGTGTTCCAAAAAAAGAAAGGGTGCTTGTAAAAAAAAAAAAATGGAGTGGGAAGAACGCCAGAATGATCAATTGGTGTATGTGGTGATGCACTCTGTGCGGTGACTAATATATTGTAGTCCACAAGTGTCCCGCGTCTTTTTCTATCCGCCTTGGATTGCATGTAAAACTACTGTCGGGTTTGTGGTTTGGTTTTTGGAGGCTTATTGAGACATAATAAAAGGTTGTGCCTTTCGTGTATTTATTTATTTATTTATTTAAATAAATACCTTAAGAACCCTGAGTCGGGGTATTACATAAGGGAGTGGGTTAAAAAAATAGCAAGGTTAACATTTGGCGGAACGAAGCAATGTCTTGAGCAGGGACGATGGCTTCGGGCAGGCCGTTCCAGTCCAGAGATGTCGCCGGGAAAAATGATTTTAAGGAATGCTGTATTTTGAGTGAAAAGAAAGCCAACTTTTGCTGGGCGGTCATTGCGAGGTGACATGCGATGAAGTGGCAAGATGAATGAATTGTGTAGATGACCGTCGAAGTAAAACCTGTAGAAAAAAGTAATTGTGTAACTGCCATGTTACTTTTTTGTGGCAGTAATTTGTAATGTAATTTTGTTAAAAATATTGGCAATAGATTACTTCAATTACTCGTTATTTTTTTTAAATATGAACACAATACAGAAACTGGAGGTATATGAGTGTGCAACCTCCCGCTCTAGCCCATGCATTTTTCAGTACTGCATGCTGCATAAGCTAACAGTGCGTCAAAGCTACAGGCAGGAGCCTGCAGCTTTAAGACGTTGCGCTCGCGCTTGGAAGGCCCGGTTCAAAAGTGAGATTTCGTAGATTGGTTCCTTACTTCTGAATCGCCTGGCGGAGGTAGACTCTGCTACTGAGCATGCGCACCGCTATGCTCCGTTTTGTCTTATGGCGGTCCGTAGCATAGCGCTATGAGCCATCCGGGCTAATCCAGCGCCGTAAATGTATCGCGCGGTGTCGCATCCCACGCCTCGCTGTGCCCCAACCGAAAATTGCGTGGCACTCACGCGGCATCGGATTGGCTTAGATGACTCAAAGCGTCCGCAGCGCTCCGTCGTAAGGTGAAACAAACTATAGCTTTGTTCGCAGAATTCCAGGGATCATTTTCGATTGCAGTAAGCTAGTGGGATGGCAGGTGCGGTTGCAGCTTTCACTGCCTCGTTAACTTGCAGGTGAATGGAGTGCACCTACATTCTTTCTCTTAAATACAATATTTTATTTTATGAGGACTACCTTAGCGTGGGTGTATGATAAATAGAGGTACGTAGTGTTGCAGAACATTTTTTAAAACATTGAAATTGTTTCTATTGCTGTAACGCGTAATTAGTAATGTAACGAGCAAAGTAATCCGTTATTGTTCAGCAAAAGTAATTTGTAACGGTAATCCATTACATTTGAGGCTCGGTAATTTGTAACTGTAATCCATTACATTTTTTTAAGTAACGGGCACAAGTCTGCAAACAACCCTTCTTTTTACCACTGCAGAAAAATAAGCCACGATTTATGGGGCAGCACATGTGGCTTTCATTCACACACTAAGCAGCTTTCTTTTTTCAATCAGCAATGTTAGCTTGGAGAAGGCCTTCTAGGCAGTCCTGCCCAGAGGACACACTCATGGCAATAATTTACTTCTGTCACTGCTGCAGACCTCCTAATGGCACCAGTGAACCAAGACCACACTTGGTCCCAGGAGCGAGCGTGGAAGGAAGGGCCGGCTTCCACGGCTCGCAACTGGCGTCGCACCCACACCAACCACCTGCAAGGGGCCGCCCGTGCCATGCGCGGATCCCAGGTTACGACAGCACAAAGCAGAGGTGCTTACAGTTTGTACATTGTGGGCAAAAAAGGCACTCTTTTGTATGGTATCCCAAATTTTTAATGGCATTAGACATATGAGAGCGCCCAACTCAATCCCAGTGCAGAGACCACAAGATGCACCCCAAAGGCGCTGATTTTAATGTGTATAAGTATGAAGGGCTCCGTGAGTAACGATTGCCTAGCTTAGTGTAATTCTGAATCAAGAGGGCATTGAGACAGTCGGTGTGCATATGCAGGAAGAAACGGGGAGCTACCAGCTATCCAAATGTGCAGCAAAAACTGGAGAAGCCTGGTGGCTGAATTGTGAAAGAGGGGAAAGGGGATTAAATGCACGCCGTCGGAGAGTTTTCAACAAGTGCAATCCATCTATGACGATAATGAGACAACTCGAAAATGCAATATACAGTGATGCCCTAGTGGCATAGCTCTAGCGCTTGTGATGTGGCTGTGTTAGGGACATCATACCTACATCTTTCAAAACAAAACAAAAAGGAACAAAAACAAGAAATTTGTGCAAACAAAAAGAAAAAAAAAACGTAATAAAAACGAACTTTAAGACTACACTTGTTCCTGTACATCAATGCTTAATGTTCCGGTCTTGGGTATCTGTTGGGGCTCTGTCGCTGCCTTGAACTTCTTTCGAGGTCCTGGCTTGCGGTTTCCTTTGTGGGGTCTTCTCTTGTGGAAACGAGTGTGACTTGTCTGGGCAGTTCGGGCGATGGAGGGATCGGGATCGCCTGGCTCCTGCTGAGGCGGCGAAGCGTGCAGCTCTCGCATAAGAGCGAGGAGGCCCTGCTCATTTCATGACAACTGTTGGAGACCACACGTGTGCGATAGCGTCAAATGTGGACACCTGCTGACCCTTGTGCAGTTGTGGAAGGGCGCTTGTTTTGTTGTAGTATGTTCGTTGCTTTGCAAATCACCAGTAGTTGGCTTTGCCCCTCGCTGGGCCCTGCGATGGCTGGCTCCAGGCAGCACTCGGGAACCGGAAGTAATGTTGTGTCTGACGAACCATTATTCTTTGCACTGGTGACTTCAGTAGCTGGTCCCTTGGGCTGTTGCACCATTCCAGGAGGGCACTGCACGAGTCGAGGGTGTTGTAGCCGCACTTCGTCCGCAGTTTCTTTGCCTCATGTACGGCACACTCTGCCATTCCATTGAAGCAGATGTGGTAAAGGCTTGACGTCACATGAGTGGTTCGAAATATACTCACTAATCCTTGAAATCTCGGCTATTGATTAGGGGTCCGTTGTTGCTGCAGTTTTGTTGGCAATCCATGTGTAGTGAATACTTCACAGATGGAGACCACTGAAAATGCAGTGGACTGTTGAAGTTGCTTCATCTTAAAGAAATGAAGGAACTTCGAGTAAATGTCAGCAGTGACTAAAAAGGTACGGCCACCATGGTAGAGCAGGTCTACCCCCCCCACCTGCCATGGGAGGCTTGGCAGCTCGTAGCTTAGTAACAATAGCCTTGCGTTTCTGGGCTTGTGCTTCTTACAGTCTTCACAAGAGTTTGCAAAAACATCGATATCGCTTGACATGGTCGGCCAATACATTACTTCTCTGGCACGCGTCCTCATTTTTGCTTCACTCCCATATGCTGTACGCAAAATTTTCAAAACTTCCACTCTTTTATTGCTGGGATTACCACTTTATTGCTCCTGAAGACACGACCGTCTTGTATGTGTTTCTTTTCTCTGTAGTTCCAATACAGTCCAACTTCACCTGGAACTTTGCATTTCTCAGCTGGCCAAGAGGTCGATGAATACTCACGAAACTGCTTGAGTGCTGTGTCGTTTTCTGTCGCCTGCAGTATGTCCACCAGTCGTGCATCTGAAATCGGTAGGGTGGAAACGGCATTAACTTGAAGATGTTTGGTTTAAAGCTTGAGAGTGCGTCAGCGAGGAAAAGTTCTTTCCCTGGCTTGTACTTCACTATGATAGGGTATCTCTGCAGCACGAGGCTCATTCTTTGTAGGCACAGTGGGCAATCACTGAGAGGCTTCCTGAAAATTGCTTGCACTGACTTATGGTCGGATTGAACGGTCACAGATGAATGCCCCAAAGTATAATCCTGAAACTTGCTGCATCGATGAACGTCGTCTGCTTCTCTTGCAAGGGTTGAGGTGACATCAGAACGCGGAGCTTTGATTGGCTCTGATTGAAGGATAGTGGGTAAACTTCAAGGCAGCTTGCTTTGAGGTCTACCCACTATCCTACAATCAAAGTCAATCAGAACTCGGTGTTGTTCTGACGTCACCAGAACCCTTGTGCAAGAAACAGACGACTTGCTCTCTGCGTAGCCAGCGTCTCTTTTTCTATCCGGGCAAACTTTTGTTGTATTGCGGTGAGGGATGAGTAGGCGATGGGGTGTCCATTCTGAATAATCACTGCTTCGATGCTAGTCCGGTTATAGTGAAAGGAAGGGCATTTGCTCTATGGCTCAAAATTTTGATATAGTAAACAGTTAAAACTTGGATTCTGGTTATAGTGAAACACGGCAGAAACGATGAAGTCTTATTTCCCCGCAACAGCATACTTTCTTGGTGAGATCGGTGCAGATCAGCTCCTAGAGACTCAAAGTGTGCATTAACCACCAAAGCGCTACGTCGAACGATGATGGCTTTCTGAGGGAGCGTCAGTGGTGCTGCAGTTGCTCACGATTGTTTCCATTCTCGGAGGCCCACGGCCATCTGCTACGTCAAAACAATAGGCCTATTCAAACCGAGAAGGTGCCACTTTGTTTGGGATATTTGGGACTGAATTGCACGTCACAACTGATCCGCATTGTAAGTGCTCGTTCAGAAAGCAGGTAACAACTGGACGAAAAGCAAATTACGGATGAATTTGGCATTTCTGTGGCAACGGTGTTGGCTTTGGTGGAGAATGGGAACCGTATTGACGACATAATCACCAATAGAAACGGTGAAAACTAAAAAAGGCTCCGAAGCTCAAAAAACAAAAACGTTGACACAGTGCTGCTTGAGTGGTTGCAACAAGTGCGATCTGCAAACATGCCAGTCAAGGAACCTGTTTTGAGAGAAAAAGACTTTGAGGCATCAAACGGATGGTCTGAACATTTCAAGCCGTGGAACTGTGTTGGTCTTTATCGGTAGTCGGGCGACAAAGGCACGGCATTCTGATGCGACCGTCAAATAATAGACCGAGCAGGTGCTGCCTAGAGGAAGAACCTGAAATCACCCCTATAAAATGTGAACTCTTGTTGGTTTTGGACAGTCAGGAGCACTCCAAGTACAGCAGATGCTAACGGGCAAGTTTCGAGAGCTAACTTGAGAAGTGCAAAGCACCTACAGAACAAACTGATATAACTGCAATTTTTACTGCAACGTAAGTGATATTTTCTATAGTTGCATTTGTTTTTGGACTAATCAATGTTTTATTCATTTCCACTTCCTTTTCATAGCTTCTATAAGTTATTTTAAGGTGTTCCTGATATAGTAAAATTACTACCCGGTCCAGACAGGTTTACACAAGGGCTTACTACTGCCTAACTTGCACAGTTTTAAGTAACTTACATAACCTACAAAGAAGTGACAACTAAGGAGGTCATATGATATAAAAAAAGGGTGCCTCTTTTGCCCACAATATGCGAAGAAGTAAAAGGAATAGCTGTACTACGTTTGTGCAACTTGAGATTCTGAGATTGCCGCGTAAGCACCTCCGCTTCGTGCTGTCGTACCCCGGGGTTTTTGCGTCGCTGTGTGGGCGCGACGCCGATCGTGAGCTGCTGAAGCCAGCAGTTCCCTCCGCACTTGCTCCTGGGACAGAGCACAGCCTTGGAGTCTGCGGCAGTGGCAACGCAAGTGAAGGCGCAGGTTTTGCTGGTGTTGTTGTGTAGTGAGGGGAGGGAGTAATGTTGATGTTCAGCAATGAGTGAACAGAGGAAAGCATGCGGATAAACAAGGCGAAGCTCTGCAGGAGAGGTGACGAGTCTTGGTAGAACATATTTTATGCTTCAAAAAGAGTTTGCAAAGTAGAGATGTTATTGTGAAATCGAATGCCGTGGATGTTTCTAAACCCTCCAACATTACGCGTAGCAACTGGATACTGCCAAAGCGAAATTTTGTATAATGCGAGTAATGTTTGAAAATGTCTGTTTTGAAGTTATCGTTAGCAGACGACGGGGAAAGATGCTCCGCCGACGCTTCCTCCTCGTTGCGCCGTTGTTGGCGGGTCGTCGAGGCTTCTTCTTGGCACGGCACGAGCAATGCGAACACCCAACTTCGCTCTCCTTGAGCCATGAGGGGAGAGAAGGGTTTTTTTCATCTCCGCTGCAACGATGGACTGCGACGACAAACAATTGCCAACACTGAAATCCCAGCAAAGTGTCACTTGTAAAGCTATCACTTTAAAAGCACAGCGATGGCACCTTCACCGTGTGCAATTTGTTTAGTCAGTGATAGTGAACGCAAAAACTATGACAGTGATGGAAGTGGCATTCAATATTTTGTAAAAGCAGTGACTGGAGTTTTTGGAGCAGACGCCAACGTCCGTTAGCTCGTCACTTGAACATGAAAATGGGATTCTATTGCTAAATGAGTTCATATTTGTTCATGATCGAGTTCCTTTTTGATACTAAAGCATATTACTTTTATCTTTTACTGTAAGAATGTATAGGACACAGAAAAGAAAACACAGTCTTCTTTAGGAATGAGGCTCAGGTCAAAGTAACTTCAATTTACAATGGGTACTTAAATAAAGTGTTTAAAAATGAAGCCTAGTGCAACAATTCAGTTGAGATAAAGCTTCTCACTTTCCTTCTTTTACACTTTTACAGCAAAGATAAAGCTTTTCTCACCCTCATTTTTTTACACCAAAGTTTATGAACACCAAAATCAAGTCTCTTATTTCATAAGCTACAAAAACAACCACCCGCAAATATTATGAAAACCTAGTACATTTGTGCTTTAAAAGTGACATTGCGCTTTAGTGGCATTCAAACCAGAGGGAGTAGAAGTTCGCTGCCCCTACGATTGACGGCTGAAGGGAACTAGCTTGACTAAAGTAGTTAGTCAAATATGCACCCGCGCTTTTTTCTCCTTTCACGGCACAGCTTTTTAAAATTAGAGATCTACCTGCAGTCAATACCAGAGAAGGGTAATCTGTAATAGTGCTGAGCATAATTTTCGAGCCAATCTCGCTAACCCATGCGCTCCCCCAAGTCAGCCGCTCCTCCCAACACTTCGGTGTAAAGCGGTGAAGCTCGACGCACGCACGCTGGTGCAAGACCGTGAAAATTGAAGCAAGCGGCGCAAGTGCCACGGTACACTGTAGTCACGCCATTTGTCATCCATCTCTGCGTGCTCTTTCGTCGACTAAACCAACCAAGCGCAGCGAATGCTCCTGGACTTTTAGTATGTCTTTCCGATAGGGTATCTGTTTGTACCTTCAACTGTGCTCCGATCCAAGATGAAGCAAACTATACGGCGTGTAAGGTAGACGCCGTGAAATATACATATTACAACGGAGCTGTCAAGGCCGAGGTTCCCCAGTACTGTGTCAGTGGGCAAACAAATGTCGACACAAAACTCTGGACAGCTACCGCCATCATGGAACAATGGTGGCAACCAGACAACCGGCTGTCTGGTTGCTGCCGTCGTGCGAGCCGATTTATGTTGCACTCTTTCCTTCCTGTTTTTTTTACCCTCTTTTCCGTCGAACTAGTCTGCTCAGCCCAGTCCCTAGTACGTAGGCATTTCAAATGTCAGCTTTTGGGTTCGATTTATTTTGTTTAAATGTTTTATATATAATTGCCCGTATACGTTCTAGTGCCTACCGCATGTCCCCCATTTATTTTACCTTGGCTCAAATTTCAGATAAATAGTTCCCCCCTGCTCTCAAAGGACGACCAGTCCATGTCCCCCATACCTTCCGTTTAGGTGTGTTCCCGTACGCTCCCAGTTCTAATCTGCTCACCCTCCTTTGTCGAATTTCCAATCCCGATTAAACCTCCGGCCTCATGCACAGTACCCCGGTGCCAAAGAATAGTCTAGACACCGTCACTCCTTTCCATGTACGCCCGACCACTTCATATCTAATTCCGCCGTGCCTCGAGTTTCATACTAACTGAACTTATTTTCTCTCTCCTATTTATATTTTTCTGTACGTTCTTCTCGATACTTCCTTCACTAATTGGGCCATACCTCCAGATATTTGTATTTTTCTACATGGCCTATTACAAGATCCTGTATTCTCAGGGGTTACCCTTTACCTCGGGCCCAAAATGTCCCCTTCCTCTCCACATATCTGAAGTCAGATCCCGCAATGTATTTAGGATACTGTCACAAGGACTACCTACTATAAGCCCTTTCGAAAGTATGGCCATACATATGTTTGCTGGAAATGTTCTGGTCTTCACACTACCTAGCAAAACAAAGGTAGTCTTCATTACGCCTCATAAGAGAACGGCGTTTGGCTAGTGACAGAGAAGCAAGGTAGGCTCATTCAGCTGCGACCGAGGGCTAAGTGAGGGAACGATGCTCGTCTCAATTAAATCAGCAGAATACAACATTCACAGAAGTCTGCCACAAAGCACCGTAGAAACAGCCCTATTTTATTTTTAAATGCCCAATGTGTACGCGTGCACAATCTTGCCCCGGAAGAGTGTTTTCCCCCTAAACACCAAGCTACACTGTGGAAGAAAAAGAAAAGTGGAGTGTGTGTATGTTTATACAGCCAAGAACTTAGTCTGCCTCAATGGGCGACTTGTCTCCCAGCTGTAAATGCGAAATTTGGCCATTGCAGTACAACCGCTAGCCTGGGGTCTTTAATGTGCATCACACAGTAGTGATCACAACCGCACACCAGTACAATGCTCATCCAGATCAGAACGGGCAGGGGTAGGGATTGACTGCACTGCAGAAGCAAGATGCCCCAAACGCTTGAAAGAAACACGAGATTTCGACGTCTGTAGCGCGTTCAATGTTGAGGATAAAAGAAATGTTGTGACCGACTTCGAGCTTAGGTGCAAACATTCTGTTTATTCTCTCGTGCCGCCAGGCTCGTATCAACGAGTAACGTCGTCTTATTGGCGACTTGGCAGGCCGAATCTCCACTCTGCGGATGCTGCTTCTCCGCAGCGCACCGCGAACGGTGGGAAGCAGGCTCAACAGAGCTCGCTAACCTTGATGGAGCACTAGACTCAAGGGAGCCCGTTCCACTGTTAGTGGAGTACAAATTAAAGAGTATGTTATTTAGAGCAACATTTATTTTTTAATTTGTACAATTTTACTTATCGTGACAAACCGGCAATGTATCGGGGCACAGTGTTGTATAGTAGTTTTGCAATTGAAACTAACTTTTGGTGCAATGTGGGCACACATTCTTCACTTTGTGGTGAAATGCAGCAGGGTATTTCGGCACAAGTGTTGCAGCAATCAGATCTCTATATCTGCGACTGCAGGCAACCTGTCATTAACTATGCGTGGTTTGAAGCTGAGCAACTTGCTGTCCTACGAACATAATTGAAATGCAAATATTCCAAACCCACAAATGTTCAGAGTTTAAGCTTTTCTGAAACAGTTTGTGAAGAAACTCCTGGTCGTTGGCAGTGTTTAAATCGACAGCGAACTTTAGTTACAATATTTACAGGCAAAAGGACATCGAAGCCAGGCGAAACGGTTTGAGCCGGCCTGTCCCGCTGCTCCGCTGCTCGTGCAAAATCGTCAGTCGATTCGCTCGTGTCCCGTTTTTTTTCCCCCTGCCTTCTTCATCGTCTTCGAGACCGATGTGGAAGTTTTTACGGTTTGTTCATTTAACAGGGAAATGTCCAGAGATTCAGCTAAAACCTAAGAGTGACGGTAACAGTCCCACGATTCTCTCAGTAATCAAATTGGTAATAGCCATTACCGCTAAACTGAAACACTCTAAATGATTTTAATGAAAGTTACGTATTTGAAAACTGGCAAAATTGTCTAAAAATGCCGTAAAAATTCAACGGAAGAACTCTATGAACCATGGATATACAGCAAAAATGTCATGTTATGACTTTTAGCACTTCAGAGGTCTCAAACAGTTATAACAGATTAGCCGCCATCATTGTATACTCGCACCATACCAACAAACTAAATTGAGCAACTCTTAGATTCGGATCAACAGCACTGGGATAAAACTTATGATGACTTGAACTAAATTTGTTGGCACATGAATTAGATTGGCAACTTGGCTTACGGTAAATGAGCTTGCAAATGGGACGCTCAGATTAAAAAAAAAAGGCACTTTGATTATTATGGCCTGCAGTACAGAAAGACATCATAAAGATGCATGGGATTCATTTCAGAGTGTGTAGTCAACCAAAATATGTTTTCTTCAAAAACGTGTTGCACAAACAGCAGCAGTGGTTTGATGACAACGTTGAGGTTTCAGAGAAGAGGTCTCGTGGACGCAACGGCGTATATGTCGTCTCCCACACCGACGTTACCGTCCTTCGTGACATACTGGCACACCCCGAACAACGGATACATCTTGTACTTTTCCTTCCCAAGCTCCGACCTGTCGACCCGGTATCTGTGAGGGGGAAACGAGAAAGTGCCGTGTCTACGAATAAATGTGACGCAGCAAACAAGTAAGCTTGGGGCATGCATCAAGCTTTACTTGCAATTGAGGCTATCCAAAGTCTTACTCAGAAGGCATTACTGCATTCACTAGGATCCTCCCCAGCTCTGCATTGTAATGTGTCTTTTCCAAATAATATAAACTAGGTATGGTTTTAAAGGTTATAGAACATAACAGTGACTGCAAAAATACTGTTTTGCAGATATACAGGTGCTAACTTGTGCAGTTAAAGGAGCACTCAAGTGTTTTTTGTAGAAGCTTGTTTTTGATGGCATATTGCTCGAAGGCTTTCGTTAAAAATTACATTTGATGGCAAGACGTCCTGTAAGCTCACAGCAATAGAAGTATGCTGGCACTATTTTCTCTTCGGAGGGCCATCCTCGGGTCCCCACCACCTCCATAGAACTTGACCAACGAAGATAGTTAATTGCGTGGAAATTCCGAATGGTACTATTATTGCTCTTTTTAGGCGCACTGTTCACTATATTTTGACGAAAACGTCAAATCTTTGGGTGTAGGAGACCTAACAGAGCAAAAATTGTTTGAAAATGGAGACCTAGTACAGCAAAAATTGTTTGAAAATGGAGACCGAGTACAGCAAAAATTGTTTGAAAATGGAGACCTAGTACAGCAAAAATTGTTTGAAAATGGAGACCTAGTACAGCAAAAATTGTTTGAAAATGGAGACCTAGTACAGCAAAAATTGTTTGAAAATGGAGACCAAGTACAGCAAAAACTGTTTGAAAACGCCGTCAGACCGCACCCCGTTGTCTGCTCCAAGGCGTATAAAGAGGGGCGTGTCACAATCTTTGATTAGATTTCTAATAGAGAAATCGGCCGCCCACGAGTGTAATTTCGGGTTTTTAGGATTCTTAGAGCCCATAGATTGAGTTATTGCCATAAGTAAACCATTTCAGAATCCACTTGAGTGCCTTTTTAATAAACAAGCTGATGTTCCTTGAGCCACACATATGCAATGCAGCAATTCCTTTACACTTCCTTTCATTGAACATTAACGAGGCACGGTGGTTTATTTTTCGGAAAATCCTAAATTTTTGTCACACTTTCAAATAAAATAAATAATTTTTGTCCTTACTTGTATTAAAAGGGCACTAAAGTGCTTTTTGAGATCTTCGTTCTATGCTCATAACGCCATCTATGAGGTCTAAGCGTCCTAAAGAACCTGAAACTATGTTCATGTGTGGCCGATTCGCATATTGAAAGAGCTGATCAAAGTTTCTGACACTTACCGTCGGCGCAGAATGACGGATGGCGCTACCAAACCTTGCCGAATACGATAGAACGACAGACGGCATTTTATCAGCCAGTCAAGAACGATGGGGTCCCGCATGGCAAAGCGGCCGACCAGTCCCGCCCGTCCAGATGGGAACCCATCGCTCTCAAGTGGCTGACAGGCGCCGTACGTCGTTCGACCATATTCAGCAAGGTTCGGCAGCGCCCTCCGTTGTTCTGCGCCGACGGGAGGTGTCGGGAACTTTGATAACAGTTTTAAAACGCAAATGGGCTGCGCATGAATGTAAAGTCTAAGCTCGTTGTAACAGACCTTGATTTTGACCAAGATTTCGGTCTGTTGTAAGAGGAGTATGTTGTACGCAGATATGAAGTTGAGTCAATGGTATGTAGAGGAAAACCAACTGAACTTCACAAATCGATATGTTATATCCAAATATCTGTTGTAACCAGGTCTGTTCTAATGAGCTTAGACTGTAATGTAATTTAGATTTTTTTTATGATGCTTAGAGCTCGTAGATTGAGTTATGACCATAGACAAGGATCTGAAAAAGCACTTTAGTGCCCCTTTTAAATCAATCGGCTCATCTAAGAATTTGAAAATTTAAAGAAAACTGATTAGCTAATATATCTCAATAAGTGACCGGCCACGAACAGATACAAATAAATGATTTGTAGAAACTCCTTTAGACCCTGTGGAACAGGGTCAAATAATGTAAGAATTTTCTCGTCATGCTGCGAGTTTTCTCCAGAAACACAAGTCCTAAATTTATATCTGCTGAATGTTCCAGTACATTTCCTGTTATCTCCAGAACAAAGAGCAACTACTACAACACCCATACTTACGTCCGGAGTGTTTTCAGTGGTTCCACTGCCTTGGTTCCAGTGCTCGGGTCAACTGTAGTAAGAATGCACCTGTCATAAAAAGATAACCATGTTAAGAGTCAGCGCAACTGAAAAGACAATTAGGACAACTCTGCAATGAAGACAATCAAAATGTGCATCCATTTATGCCTCCAAGGGGCATAAAATATTCAAATCAATTCAATTTAATTTTTATTTACTCCAATTCATGAAGAGGGAGACCGGAAAAAAAGCTACTCAACGTAGCTTGGAACATCCTGCCGCCCACAAGCTTTTAAACTGCTGAAATATTACGCTACCACCGACTCTCTTACTTAGTATCCAGAGTATCATGTTCTAAGGAGCAAGGCATCCCCGATAAATGTGTCTCTTAAGCTTTTGACTGAAGCAGCTGATAAACAAAGGTTGAATGCTAAGACCAACCTAGAGACTTACCAATGATCATAACAAGACCTAAAGCTTGAAACCTCTTGGCTTTTATGGAATTCAAGAAAACTTACAACATAAAAATAAACTGAGAGTGCTGTTCAGAAGCAATTTTAGGCTAAAGCATCTTTCTATAAAACCCACACAATAGACACTTTAGGGACAGTGGTACACTGTGCGACACAGTTAGTGCCAATGAGAGACATCTGATTGATGTCTGATCTGTGCTTAATCACCTTTTGCTCAAACAAGATATATTCATGTGTACCAAAGCTTTTCGGTTCAGCTGATTCCCTGAACAAGCACTTTATACCAAACTACGAGTTGAAAAGATCAGGGCTCTCTAACCACGGGCCAAAATCCGGACTGCAGAGGTCTCCCCCGTTTCATATAACTAGGTGTAACTGCATATGTTAAAATAACTTTGCATTTCTATGTATGTCATGCTTTAGAGCTTTGTGTCATATCTATTGCATATTGTCAGCATCAGGTATTTTATTCTCACTATAGTAGGTTACAGGTCAAGAATGTAGCAGAAAATGCCCCTCAAAGGGATCCATATATCCCTCCGCCACCTCTGCATCCAATAGCGTCCCATTGTTTCCGTGAAGTCGTGGCCAACGCGCTAGGAGGGTCTTGCCTTCCTGTACATATTTGATTTATCTTTCGACTTTGACTTAGCGTTGCGGAAGCCACGAGAGGGAGATTAGAGTTTTCCCCCTCCGATGGAAAGAAATACGACTTTGGGTGGTTAGGTTCCCCTCCGATGGATACCAGTGGCGTAGCCAGGATTTTTTTTCGGGAGGGGTTCAACGAAATCCCCTCCCTCCCTCCCTCCCTCCCTCCCTCCCTCCCTCCCCCCCCCCCCCCCCCCCCCCCCCCCCCAATGACGCAGGGTGAGCTCGGCGGTACGGACAATCGTCCGTACCGGGAGGCGCTGTTAAAAAGCCCCTGAAAAGAAAAAAAAAAAATATGTCTTTAAAGGGACACTGACACCCCCCAAAAATTTTTTTTCATTTTTTGCCAGGGGCTTCATTATGGTGTCAGAGGACTACCCAATTAATATTTTGCAACAGAGTAGCGTATTTTTTTAATAAAGCCGAAAGACGCAACTGCTCGAAACCGAAACCGAAACCCGACGGAGGTCGGAGAAGTGGAGAGAAGAGAATGAGTGGCGGAAGTCACGTGGCTACACCCGACCGTGCGTTTTTTTGTTTTTTTTTTATTATTTCTCCTCTCCGTAGCAGACGACACGACATGCGGCGTGCGATGCGGCGTGCGGGAACTGCTCCCCGGGCGATTCTTTTGCAGTTATGTTTGTTCCGCTCGTTGTTCTGTACTCTAAGATGAGTTGTTTTGTACATTGAGGAGTCGGAGATGAGTAGCGAGTGCCCGTAGTGAATTTTCATGATCGGCTCCGAAAAGAATACACCCAAGATGTTGCGTGAAGAGCTGGCTCACATGTCCTGCGTCCGAAAAAAAGTGGCATTGTGCGACAGAGTTTCCGAAAGATCAACGGGATCGGGACCATTGGCTGGCTGCAATTCCTGTAGAACATATACGGGCACCTCGGAAAGCGGACGCTACCTGATTTATATGCTCCTTGCATTTTGTGGAAAGTGATTACATTGAGTTCGCAGGTGTCAAAAAGGAAATCACATACCATTTAATTCAGCGAAGTATCGTCCGCAACATTTGTTTGTTATTTTTTGTTTGTTTCTTCAGTGATGATTGTAAAAAAAAGAAAAAGATATGTAAACATCGGGAAATGTTTGAAAAAAACAAAAATAAAATTTCACGGGGGATCGAACCCGGTTCTACCGCGTGTGAACCGGACGTCTTTCCCACTGCGCTACTGGGGGATCTCTTTTCTGGTGGATCTCTTTCCTTTGTAATAATTCAGCCCGTAAACTGTAAGTTGGAAAGTTTGCTGTTGATTTTTCTCTAGCAAAAGCACTCCCGAGTCGAAGTCGGGAAGCACCACGCTTTGGGGACATTCGCACCTAGTAAAGAAATCGTACGCGTGCATATTCAACTCGAAGTAGACACGTCGTGCTTGACGTTTGCGCGAGCGATGTCTTCAGCCACGAGAAGGGAGCGACGGCTCGGCGACGTCTTCGTGCAAATCGGCTTGGTGGACGGGCGTGTCGTACGGGATGAATACCAATTCTTTTGATCAGTCCCAAATTTCTCTTTTAAAAGTAGACAGAATTCGCCGGTATCGCGAACGACAGTTCTGAAATAGAGGTCCCACGCCCGTCGTCCGCTGCCATCGCCGTCCCCGCGAGTCCCACGATACGCGAAACGACGAACGCACAGAATGCTTCCGGTTGTCTGGGGAACTTTTTTTTTCAATCAACGTATTTGCAGCTTTTTAGAAGCCACAAAAAATGGGTTTCATATCTTTTTCTATTTTTAATATTGAGTGTGTGCCTTCAGTGACCCACGACTTTGATTAAATTTGGTGGTCGCATCGATACCTTAGAAAACGGCCCGTGACCTCGAAAAAGAGAGTGAGCGAGACTCGAACCGGCCAGTTCTTGATCGGCGGTTTTCGGGCGGAAAGAAACCGAATTTCGAGCCGCAAATTCTGTTCTGGGTAGTTGAGCTCTCATATGACACGTACAACTAAAAACCTCGGCGAGCATAAATACCCTGTCAGTGTCCCTTTAAAACAGTCTGGTTGGGACACCCGTGTCAAAAAATGAAATTTACAAGAAAAGTAATTTTAGGAGCCATATTCACGGTGAGAGATTTATTTGTAATTCTGCGCGCCAAGTTTATGACGTCACGGAATGGTCACTCGCTCTTTCGACCTCAACGAGATGATCATACACTCTTTCCATCTTAACGTGATGGCCAAGCCGATCCACCTCTCCTCCACGCTCCCGAAATGCCGAGAAAGAAAACAAGTGGAAGGGAGGTGACTAACGACTAAATCGTGTCTCGTGCCGTCAATATTGCTCTAAAAAAAATAAAAATAAATAACAATTTTTTTTTTGACACGCGTATCCCAACCAAACTGTTTTATCAAAAAACATTTTTTTTTCTTCCCAGGGGCCCTTTAAGATCAAACGGGTAAAGCTGCATTGTCATTTTTCAAAACTGAGCAGGCTTTATTTAGATGAACTCGCGCGTGCTGGGTCACTGTTCTACTGTCGTCGTAGTTGCGGCCTACCAACTTTAAAAGCTTCCTCACAGCACGTAACTCCCCCCGCTTTTCGAGGTACCACTGCATTATTAATGCGTGAAGGCCAGACAAAACGCAAAGATAGCTATACTGTCACAAAAAATAAAGCAGCAAAAAAAAAAAAAATCTCGACGCTGTAAATTTAGAGCAAGAATCAAAATCTATTATCTATTAAAGGATTAACAAATTCGTGCTAGCGAACCAGACGCCAAGGAAAGAAAGTATTATCTTGCCTACGCCGCTTTATCCTGCAGCGTAGTCCAAAGACAGCAGCAGCATATCCTCGGGGGTCATGAGAAGCCATCAGTCCGAACTCGTCGTTCCGTCATTTGGAGAAATGACATGACACACCACACACAAACACGCAAGCCACACGCCGAACGTGGAAATGAACTTGACTACCCATGCGCCTAAGCGTAATGAGAATAGAAAGGCTTGTCTCTTCGGAGTTTCTGGTGTTCAGTGCAACGAAGAGATCAATATAATAAGGAATTGCATCGGATGCGACCTCGACATGCAAAGCAGAAAACAAGACGGACCGTCATCGCATCCGTGAGCGACTCGATGGAGGAAAATTTCACGAAGTGAGGGAGACTTCGCCATAAATAGGGATATTTGAGGCGTCCAATACCCGCCTGGTCGTCGCTACAGGCGGTCACCCTCTGTCCGGAGGCCCTATTTCAGAACGTCCATTGTCTCCTCAAGATCCTAGCGATTCTGCCCGAAACAGCGGCGGAACCTGAGCGCTCGTTCTCTTTACTACGACGGTTGAAAGCATGCCCGAGAGCGCGACTGCTCGGTCTTGCGCTTTTGAATGTTCACCGCGACATTAAAGTTCAAGTGGATAACGTCCTCGATATTTTTCTGCCGTGAACACAGGCGGCTGCATGTTAATGTGTAGGCGCTTATAAATGAGATGATAAAGAGAGCCTGTAAATTTCTTTCGGAGATAACTAGTCGCAGTTATCTTTTTATTCGCGGTAATTTCTAGTCGAAAGCATGCAATTCTGATCAGCACCCGTTGCTTACAGTGCAATTCTTTTTTTTTACAATTCATTTAATTTTTTTTTATCACTCACACTTTTTTATATTATCAACGTGTGTTTGATTTCTTATGTTCACTTTGGTTTGATTGAACTGTGTGATTCTGTAAAAAGAGTTTGTTATACTTTGCCTTGAAATTTCCATCCTTCACCCCACAAATGTTTCGAAATATCCGTTCTCTATATATCTGAGATCAAGTTCCGCATCCCATAGAACAAACATGAATGAAACAATATTGCATATTTTATTAATTTGAGCACAAACATTTTTTTTTCCCGAAAGCAGATAAGTTGGAGATAGTCCACGCTTCCCTGTTGATCCGTTCCTCGTGTAAAACCGACTGCGTGAGCATGGGAGCGAGCGAGCCCCGGGGGGGGGGGGGGGTAGTTTTGTCATTTTGGGAGGGGTTTCGACCCCCCAAACCCCCCCTCTGCCTACGCCACTGATGGATACAAAGGCCACTTTCAAAGGCTCGGTTCCCTCCCTGATGAATATAAAGGTCGCTTTCTAAAAAAAGTGGGGGTCGTAGACAAGTTAGCATCACTCTGTAGCCATTGAAGCGGAACAAAGGGCGTTTCCAGTGAACTATTCTTTCGACTGTGGATGGATTTGAAACGGGTGCATCACGCTTGTGGGAGGAACTTCTCCTACCTTCTTGACTTGTAATTGACTATAGTCCTCTGCACTGTGTGAATATGCCAAAGTTCCTATATATGCACTTTGATTTATGCTTGGTGGGTTTTCTGGGTCCCACAGCTAAATATTGAATTTTAAAATAAACTATATATGGGATTCATCCATCTTTATTGTTTCTAACTTTTAATTTTGTATTTATATGCCGATTTAACATAATTTATCTAGTTTTTCCTCATTATATTTACTTGTTTATTTTCTGACCCTAGAGACAGCGACAGACCCCCGATTAGGTGCCTCAGCCAAAAGGTTTGGAGATCCCTGGTTTAGATAATCTTTCAAATCAAAAAGAAAAGCCCAAAAAAAACAGTAATCAACAGTTTGCGCTAACAACATTGCAGCCTGTACCTGTGGCAAACGACATGCTGTGCAAATCTAATTTGCAAATCTAATGCTACCCTGAGTAAATTCAAACTAAGGCCAAGCTTTTTGGATCCAAAATCTTTTTTATCTTCTGCCCGTTCTTGGACCAGGACATTGCAAATTCCACGGACGCTCGAATGCAATGCAACATTTGACATCTCGGCCAGTCAGACCTCCATAATCTAAGCACAAATAGGCTTGTCTTTATACTATTTTTCTGAGAATCGAACAGTTCTATAGTGGCCACTTGCCTAGGACAACGCATAACAAATGCTATTTCCGCATCTCCCAGTCTGGCACGGCTCCAATGGTCCTGCAAAAATCAATTCATCAATCAGATGACAGGGTTCGTACAGGCTTCAAAGAAAAAAAATCAGGGGTTTTTAAGGACTTTTAAAGACCTGGAAGGTATTTTAAAGGACCCCTTCAATACTGTAAACGACTTAATTTTCGCGAATTGCTCACGATTCGTGAAAAACAAGTCCCGCGAACAATTCGGGCACAATATCAACACTTCGGAAGCAACATTCGAGTCGCAAAAATTAGTGGCCCGAGTCCATGACACGCCACATACGCGCACTTCCTCTCGCCACAAGCGAAAGTGTTCGCAATTTCGCTGTCCGGGAACATCCTCATAAACAAGTCGTTTGTTTGCGAGGATGAACTGTACGGGTAGTGAGATGTAATCACCTTTAACGTCCACAAAATTTCGGCATCCGTCACCAACTCGTGCACCTTGCACGCGCTGGTCAAGTGCGATGACTGTGCTGGGACTGCGGGGACGGATCCCGCGGGGACTGATTGGTCACTGAAGCACAGAGTCACATAGTTCTTCATGGAGCTGCCGTCTTCATGTTCCCACTGTGCTTCGCACTTTTCATGTGGCTTTTTAGTGCGGACTCGCCCACTGACGAGACGTCAAACGTCTTCCCGCAAGGTCTGCATTTTGCCCGATTCATGCTCCCTGGGTCCGGCGCAACCCAGTGTCTGTAGTCGCCATGACCCAACCACGATTGCTGGAAGTTGCACTTTCTGGGCATCGCGCACAGCTTAAACAACGTCCACTGTGTGGTGCGTGAAGCAGACTCAAAACAAGGAAATAGCAAACACTACGCGAGTGAACGACGGCGCAAGATCACAAGAAGCGGACGGGCGAGATCGGATCCGGAACCACCGGGACTGCTACCATTGTGGGCAGGCGCTTAACGTGTATCAACCAAATATGTCGAGTTGTATGCCATATAAGAAAATTCCCTCGTTTTAGTTTCGAAATTTGTTTTTAACATACACGTAAAAATCATGATTCTATTTTATTACTATAAAAAAATGTAGCACCACTGGCTATCATAGAGAAATTCAAGGGTTTTCAAGCACCACTACAAATTCCAGGACTTTCAAGGTCTGAAAAATGGCTTTTTCAAATTCAAGGGTTTTCAAGGTTTTCAAGCACCCGTGCGAACCCTGAGATGATTACTTATCGCTAGAACTGTGGGTCATAGCAATGCCCCTCAGCAGTGGTCATTGCAGACGAGTTTGTTCAACAGTGGAGAGCTTGGCAGCTTGTAGTATTCGCTCCCTCCCTTCATCAACCACCAGCAGATGTTACCATTGGCACATGCTCAGCAGCAATGCGGAGAGAAAGTCGTCTGCTTCTTCCGCAGGAGTTGCGGTGACGTCAGAACGACGCCCGGCTCCGATCGGCTTTGATTGGAAGGATAGTGGGTAGACCTCGATGCTCGATGCCTTGAGGTCTACCCACTATTTCTTTTCAATCAGCCAATAAGAGCTCTCGGCATTCTTACATCATTGCAACCCCTGCGCAAGAAGCAGACAAACTTTAGCTCCGCATAGACACAACCTTGGTTCGGGGAATAGATTCCCTAATGCCGTAATACAGAAGGCTGATGTAACAGTACCCTCTGTCAATCAAGAAATGCAAGACGCTGCGCTGCACACAGAACGGTGGCAGAAACAATCTGCATTCGATAATATTTCTTAACTTACTGTTCCCTAGATAAAAATATTCTTAATGTTGCTAGTGGCTTCAATCGTAATAGCATTAACACTTCAAATTCTGAAGAGAGTTCAGTCACATTGCGATCAACAGAGCTCAAAACTAAGCGGCGGCAGCAAGATGCAGACCCACATCCTGTTTTTCACGCAGCAGGAAAACCGGAGGACAGGACTCTTGTTTGCAATGTTCAGATGAGACGGCGTTGTAGGACACAACTAATTTAAACATGTTTAACAGCTGTCTCTTCCCATCTCTCGGAGCATGGCTAGGACAATCCTACCGGAACCCAAGCCGACCGGCTCATGAGAATAGCGTTTGTTCGTAGATTTGCTGATCCGATTAAAACAGCCAAATTGTGGTGATTCTCTTCAAACTTTATGCTTGGTGATAAGATATTAGTTTCTTATCATCAATGTGGCACATTGCAGGAAAATTATACTGTCAGCACTTTGTCCCCAGCGGATGCACAAACTATAAGTTAGGGCTCTGTTACAACGCATATTGCACGTACAGAATCACTTTTTGCTGCAAGCCTCTCTTACATGCCGCTGCCGCTGATATTTTGTGACCAGCTTTTCAAGGCAGCTCTGTAGGCCCCTAGGTCATAACGAGCATTTACCTGGCAACAGCAGATACAAAAATTGCATCGTGAAAATCGTGTCATTTTTTTATTCGCACCGACCGTGTCTCCTAATTAAGCGTGCTGGTTGTTGACAAGGTTCTGGAAACACATTTACCGACCAACACTCTTTCCAAAAAGCAGCTACAAGACCAGGTAGCCCCAATGGATACAAACCTCGGCATAGGCATCACAGCCCTCGATGAGGAAACTGGGGCGAAAGTTGCGCTCCGTGAACTCGACGTTGCCTTCTGGCAGCTTTGAATTGAAGTCCTTCAGGGACGCTACCGACAGCATGTGGATGGCCGAGGTGTCTTGGAAAGCCACCTTGGGGGGAGAGAACAGCAAGGCACAAGGTTGCGGGCACCGCGTCGGGAGGCGCACAGCGGGCGGCGACGTGAACTAATCCAACAAAACGCCAGTTGAGACGGTAAAAAGGCCCACTGCGTGACAAGCTATTGGCGACGTGTGCGGCCAAAAGCGTCCCTGTGGTCGGCCTTCCATGATTGGCCAAAAGGTCACTACGACGTCTTGAGTGCGACCAATTCTACTTTTATTACTGGAGATAAAAGGGTCAGACTGTGACCTCTCATGGTGTTGGTTTAGGGACGTGATGACTCCCAAGCTTCCAACATGCTTTTTAGACACATCATCCAAATTGTCACTGGCAATTGATAATCCTGGTCATGGCCTCTGAAATGGCGTGCAAAGCTCTCCTTTGACCATTACGTTCGTCGGGAGAGACAGACAGAGAGAAAAAGATGGCTGGAGGCTGTTTCTGCCGCGTGGTGGCACTATAGTTACAAGGCCAAAAATCATAATCTTTGAGCTTGCTTGGCTAGCTGTCCGGATAAAGAGGCGCTCATTTGGTTTTTTGTAGCATGTTCTGTGACAAGCAAAATATTGGTTTGGAGCAGCCACTGACGGTTCCGGAGCAGATGCCAGCATCTGTTAGCACCTCGCTCGAAAATGAAAAAGGACTTCATCTTTGATGATTGAGGGTTCCTCTTTGATACTGAAGCATATTATTTATTGCCTTCTGTAATAAGAATAGCTAGGGTGCAAAAGGAACACAGAGACTTCTTTTTAGAAACAAGGCTCATGGTCAGAGTAGGTTCCATTTACAATGGGTCACTGAAAAATGGTTGAAAACTGACCCTAGTGCAGCACTTCTGTTGGGATAAAGCCTCTCTCCTCTCCCACTTTTACACCAGATGGTTTATTTAGCCTGTAAATATAATTTCCGTAAAATGCCACCAAAAACCAGCGTTTTCGCTAACATGTCTATCAATAAAAATGTGTCCCTCAAGTGTTATGAATGTACGAAACTCAAGATACTAAATATGATAAACTGCAAAAACAACCACCGAGAAATATGAAAACCTACACTTGTGCTTTAGTGGAGACACTGCTCTTTAGTGGCATTGCAACCAGAGTGAAGTCAAAGTTTGCTGCTCTTTCGATCGACAGCTGCACAAGAACTACCTTGGCTACCGTATTTATTCAAATATAGAACCAATTTTTTCTCATTCTCGGCATAGCTTTTTAAAATTGGAGGTCAACGTTCGATCAAGACCAAAGAAGGTAGACCTGGAATAGTACCGAATAGAATTTCCCAGCCTACTGCGCTAACCCATGTCAGTCACTGCTCATAGTGCTCCGGTGCAAAAGCGGCGAAGCTCAGTGTGCACGCACTGCTGAGAGGTGATGCAGAGGCATGCAGCAGACGTGATAATTAAGAGTTCTCATCAGGAATACGTGACCCTGGTTCTGTCTTATCCCAGAAGCCACCACATCCTACTACTTTGCAAGGTTTTTTCGCGACTTCTAGCTCCTGACGTCGCCGACATCGTCTGGAAATTTAGATGATGTCGGCGACCAACTTGGCAGCTTATTAACCAGCTAGCATGGTTGACGAGCTATCTCAGTACTTCGTGTTACCTTAATTTATAAGTGCAGCCAACACTATGAGCCAATGGGACCAACCAAACAGCGTAAAAGTGTGACATCATGGCATTCGTCCATCTTCCAGCATGTGCTCTTTCACGACTAAACCACTGAAGTGCAGCAAATCTCCCATGACTTGCACTTTTAGTATGTGTGTTTGTGGCTGTATGTCCTTCGACTGTGGTCTGACCTAAGATGAAAAAAAAACTATCCCAGTGGTTCTCAACTATTGATGTTTTAGGACCCCTTCTGGGTCAGCAGAAGTGATGGGGGAGCGTCGCCGTCAATCTAGTTTGTCACGGCAGCGCGGAGCCGGCACCTACAGTAGACCAATAGAAGCATGCTCGCAAATGGCGGCGCATCACCGGCGGCCACAGCAGACCAATAGGAGCGTGCTCATCTGGATATGGGATGCGCCGCAAGCTAAAAATGGCAACGCATCACCGCCATCCAATAGGAGCTCCCGTGGCACGATCAAATGACGGCAGTACTTAGTCAGCGCTTTACAGCGCGCGAGCTGAGCGGCAATTATGTCATGTCTCAACGCGTTTGCACACCTCAGACTTTGCAATGATTAAAAAAAATATTAACTCTATACCGCGGGCACACATTTAATGTTTGAGATGCGGATGCAGACTCTGTATCAGCACCGTCTCTGGAGAAGCTGCTCTATATGCTCCTTCTGCTCGGCAAACGAGCGTTCGGAAGGGCCAGAGGAGAGCTGTGCGTGTCAAGAACCTCGGAGGCCATGACATGGTCGTAATGCCACAGATAGGAAGCAGAGGGAGCCACCGAAACATCTCGTTGCCAATTGGGAGCAAGGTCGAAACTAAACTGCCACAATTTTGTGCAAGGGTGTTTTTAGTAAATGCTGCTAAGCTGCCATGCTCCTGTGGTAAATTACAACTCTTCAATCAGGTGTCCTTTGGACCAGTACTGAACAAATAAAAAAACTTTCAGCCTTTCCAACCTGGTGAAGAAGGAAGACCAGCGAAGCTGTACTATGGTGGGAATGAAGTAATGGCCGGCCGCAAGTCGGCAAGCCAGAGTGGAAAGGCTGTAAAGGTTGCTGTGATCTATGAGCAACAGCGGCAAGCAGACAACCAGCAAACGCAACACTCTAAATAGCTACCGCTGTGCGGACGAAAACGATCCTGAAAAAACAAGCCTTCAACAGCTCCGCTGTAAAAAAAAAAGAAGCGGTGGTAGAAACAAAATGGGGGGCATATGGACTCAGGTGCCGCACCAGCCGACTGCACAAAGGAGCGTTTGTTCACCATGACTTATCACTGCTACACCCTGTATCATTCTAACGTGTGCTGCAGAGAAGACTGCAAGCACAAACACTCTGCTTTAGGATAAACTTTGGCTTCACTTGCAGCAGCGGCACTGAACAAAACTATGAGCTTTTGCTTCAAACCATTTTTATGGTACACGTTACACACATTAAGGTACAATAGAGTGTACCCTGATGCACGAAGTAGCGCTGCATGGTTTGCTTCACCCTTGCTCCCAATGGTTTGCCTTGCCGGACACGATTTCGAGCAGGACCTTTACCGCTCCAGCCGGCACTCTATTCGGCCAATTCACATCGCTGTCCAGTATGTATTAAATTAGGAATCCCCAATGCAATGCTCCAATTCAGCTTGTATACCAAATTTGGGCTATTGGGAACCAACGTACGAGAAAGTAAGTAATGCCAGGCTATCATTTGAAGCCCCTTAAGCTATTAAGCTAAATTGCATTGACTCAGAAATGTACTGCACCAGCATAAATTTAAGAACAAACCTTCAGAGGCTTCAGGGCGGCAGCCAACGTTTTTCCACGAGGCTTGGTTTATTCAAAAGCGAGGTTTCTTAGCGCTGGCTATTGCTCCGAGGTTACCGAAGATTCACATTCTTTCTATACTCGCTCACCAGATGAGATCGGCAGGGTGTCCTTTTCAAAAGCCCCAGCAGGTGCCTGCTGCCTTCTGCCGCGCATTGACTATGCGTGCACTCTAGAAGCTCAAAAAAACGCTCAAGCATCATCCAAGCTAGGAAGCTCGCGGCATACCAAAGATATTCACAAGCTGGCACCCAAGAACGCGTTCAGCTCTACGAAGCACGAGTTGACTACCGGAATGGAGCCGTTCTCGCCACAAGCAATGTTCCTGTCATCCCGCAGAACCCGTAGGAAACGGACGTCCTCTCTCTTCAGGTACCGGTTAAACCATGCCGAAGCCTGCGGCGATACTTCCACCGCCTTGTGGTAGTTGCTCCACACCCTGTTGGCAAACAAGATAGTGAAAGCACGCTGGCAACATGTTGGAAAGAGGTCCGTGCTAGAGAGCGAACCGATGCACAGACCACGGGTTCTCAAACCGAGTTCCCGAAAGCCCGGGGGTACCCGAGCTACTCCTAGAGGTTAGTCAGGCTCTTTCTACTGTCCACACCCCTAATTAATTAAGGCATCTTGCCAGTTTAAGTGCAATTACTTTAGCTTATATGAGCCATTGCATTGATGCTCGACTATCAGCTAAACTCTTTTTATACACTCCGTTTACCCTTGAGCTTACGGGTCGACAAGGGCGAATTAACATGCGCCCCATGCTCTGAGACCTTCCTTTCGACTGCAAATGCTTTTATCATCAAAACATGTTTGAAAACAAACTGGTACCCATAGCCTTCACTGCCCCACAGGGGTGGATCCAGAACTCCGTTTTGGGGGGGAGCAGGAAAATTTGCAAGGACACTATTCTCCCATTCTTTCTTGTGCACCTAGGGGTTCACCCATGTCAAACTGCCCTTCGAGAAGGGGAAGTGAGGGGGGTCGACTTTGTTTGTTTGGGGGGGGGGGGGCGGCCGCCCCCGTCGCAGCAGCAATTCAGAGATGAGGAAGGGGTTCCTTGGCAGTCATTCAACATAGGTGCAAGATTCGTCCAGATCACAAAGTGTGAGGAACCCAGTCTATAGAAGAACTGGGATGAAAGTTTGAGGGCTAAAACTTGCATGTCAGATCAAGAGAAACTGACATCCTCCTTGAAAGCCTCAGCATGCTATTGTTGCATCTGGCACAGCTCATGAAAAATTCTGCATGCTTACTTATTTTGCAAAGGCACGTCTGCCAGTCAATGCTCACTTCACTGTGAAGGATGCCTTGGTGTGCGCATCGGGATCGGCGGCGGCGGCGACGATCAACGGATCCATGGCGTCTGCAGTCAACGTCAACTTGCCGCCCTCGTGCGACAGATGAATGAGGGCAAGAGAAGGCTCTTCTCGCATGGAGACGACGCACTCTCCCGCTGCCAGCATCATGGACCTGTTGAAGGCACCGGGCCACAGGCAGTCAATCTGCCTGTTCCGACAGTTATCGCAGGCGAAAATGGAACTGTCGTTTCCAACTTTGGATTGAAGTCAGTGAAATCAAACAGTGCCAGACACACTTGACAAACAAATAATAAAAACGTTGGAATGCAGTCTTCCCCCATGAAAAGCGGCCCAATGAGCTAATGTCGCCAGGTTTGACGAGGTCTGCCCCCTGTGAGTCAGCAAATCGCTATTGCATATAGTTTCCCGGAGGACATTTGGAGACTATGGTAAGCGTTTCTATCGAGCCAGTGACAGGCTATGCAGAAGTTTATGCACGCTTTGTTTGGTCAGTGTTCAAAAAGTTGTTTACAACTCCCTGTAACGCCGAATTAGAGCGCAGCTCTTAAGGAGGAGGGGAAGGTACGGAGAGGAGGCTATGCCCCTCCTCCTCTCCTGCTCGCCTCCCATTTAGGAAGAAATTTTCCCTGCTAAATTTAGCAGGGAAATTTTTCCGCTAAGCGGGGAAAATTTTCTGCTAGGCTTAGCGGAGAAACTTTTCCACTAGGTTTAGCGGGGAGAATTTTCCGCTAGATTTAACGGGGAAAATTTTCCGCTAAATTTAGCGGGTGAAATTTCCTATTAGATTTAGCGGGGAAAATTTCCTAAAAGATTTAGCGGGAAAAATTTTCCACCAGATTTAGCGGGAAAAATTTTTTTGCTAGATTTAGCTGGGAAAATATCCCGCTAAATTTAGCGGGGAAAATTTTCCGCTAGATTTAGAGGGAAAATTTTTCACTAGATTTAGCGGGAAAAATTTTCCACTAAATCTAGCGGGGAAAATTTTCCGTTAAATTTAGCGGGGAAAGTTTTTCGCTAGATTAAGCGGGGGAAATTTTCTGCTAGATTTAGCGGGGAAACTTTTCCGCTACATTTAGCGGGGAAAAATTTCCACTAAATTTAGCGGGTGAAATTTCCCGCTAGATTTAGCGGGGAAATTTCCCGCTAGGTTTAGCGGGGAAAATTTTCTGTTAGATTTAGCGGGGAAAATTTTACGCTAGATTTAGCGGGGAAAATATCCCACTAAATTTAGTGGGGAAAATTTCCCGCTAGATTTAGCGGGAAAAGTTTCCACTAGATTTAACAGGGAAAATTTTCTGCTAAATTTAGCGGACAAATTTACCCATCAAGCACCGCGCGGTTATGCCGACGGCGACGCCACTCCAACCGGAAACGGGCGCCTAAGAGCTACGCTCTAAAAACAGCTAAAGTCTCCTAAAATTCCCAGTCCCAAAGGATGGTTTGACTCAAATGGCTGGTGGAACAGGCTTATTATGGTGGGCAAGAAAGGGAGGCATGAAGATCGCCTGCTTGTCCCAGCGGCCGAGAGCGGTACCATGCGTCACGCCTCATGTATCACTATTACCATCTGTACGCTGGCAGCAGTGCTACAATGGCAAAGACCGGGCAATTCTTCAAAAATTGGGTTCTAAATAAAATGCAGCAAGCAAAAAAGATACAAAAATGGTAATGGCTCGTGTTCCCATTTACGGCTGGACAATACCTCTACAGGGTAGGACAGAATGCTCCATCTGCCCATTTTTGTTAGATTTTTTCTTATTCTACAGGTTTTCCTGTTCATTTTAATCCAAGCGATGAGAAATTTAATCCAAGTGCCACCCAATTTAATCCAAGCGCCACATAATTGAATCCTTGTGCTACCTAATTTAATCCCGGGGTCAGTCAATTTAATCCACATTATGTATATGCATTTATTACCTTCTGGAACGACCTCAAGGATGACGCCTGGAGGACGTGTAGGACGACCTCAAGGACGACGTCTAGGACGACCTCAAGGACGACTTCTAGGAAGACCTCGAGGACGATGCCTAGAGGACGACCTCAGGAACAATGGCTGGGATGACCTCAAGGGCGACTTCTAGGACGACCTGGAGGACGACCTTGAGCACGACGTATAAGACAACCTCAAGGATGCATTTAGGACGACCTCGAGGACGACCTCAAGAACGTCTAAAAAGACCTCAAGGACGTCTAGGACGACCTCAAAGGCAACTTCTAGAACAACCTCGAGGACGACACTTAGAGGACGACGTTCTCTAGGTGTTGTCCTGAAGGTTGTTCTAGAAGTTGTCCTAGACGTCGTCCCTGAGGTCGTCCTAGACGTCGTTCTTGGTCGTCCTAGACGTCATCCTATACGTCGTCCTCGAGGTCGTTCTTGAAATCGTCCTACACGTTGTCCTCGAGGTCGTCCTAGACGTCTTCCCTGAAGTTGTCCTAGGCGTCGTCCTTAAAATTGTTTTAGACATAGGCCTAGGCGTTGTCCTTAGGTTGTTTTAGAGGTCATCCTAGACGTCGCTCCTGAGGTTGTCCTAAACGTCGTCCTTAAGGTCATCCTAGACGTCGTTTTTGAAATCGCCCTAGACGTCGTCCTGGAGATCGTCATAGGCGTCGTCCTCGAGGTCGTCCTAGACGTCATCCCTGAGGATGTCCTAGACGTCGTCCTTTAGGCATTGTCCTTGAGGTTGCTCAAGAAGTCATCCCTGAGGTCATCCTAGACGTCGTCCTTAAGGTCGTCCTGGACGTCGTCCTTCAAGCGTCGTCCTTGAGGACGTCCAAGAAGTCGTTCTAGACATTGTCCTCGAGGTCGTCCTAGACGTCGTGCCTGAGGTCGTCCTAAACATCGTCCTCTAGGCAGTGTTCGAGGTCGTCCTAGATGTCGTCCTCTAGGCATCGTCCTAAACATTGTTAAAATAGCTTCCCTGGTCCTCCATCTTCACGGGAAGTGAAAGGGCTCCACATTTTTTCTACTAATGTCCGAATCAAAGATTGTTTACCTCTGATGTATCGCGGACACCAAAGGGACCGTCGGACGAGGTGAAGGGCTCACTGGAAGGACTTCTGGTCCGATGCTGCCCTCAGGTGTCCGGGGTAATTGAAGTGAAGTATAATGTAACTCAAAAGTAACTTTGAATAATGTAACTTCAAAAGTAACTAAGAATAAGAAAAAAGATTTTTTCTTATTCTACAGGTTTTCCTGTTCATTTTAATCCAAGCGATGAGAAATTTAATCCAAGTGCCACCCAATTTAATCCAAGCGCCACATAATTGAATCCTTGTGCTACCTAATTTAATCCCGGGGTCAGTCAATTTAATCCACATTATGTATATGCATTTATTACCTTCTGGAACGACCTCAAGGATGACGCCTGGAGGACGACGTGTAGGACGACCTCAAGGACGACGTCTAGGACGACCTCAAGGACGACTTCTAGGAAGACCTCGAGGACGATGCCTAGAGGACGACCTCAGGAACAATGGCTGGGATGACCTCAAGGGCGACTTCTAGGACGACCTGGAGGACGACCTTGAGCACGACGTATAAGACAACCTCAAGGATGCATTTAGGACGACCTCGAGGACGACCTCAAGAACAACGTCTAAAAAGACCTCAAGGACGTCTAGGACGACCTCAAGGGCAACTTCTAGAACAACCTCCAGGACGACACTTAGAGGACGACGTTCTCTAGGTGTTGTCCTGAAGGTTGTTCTAGAAGTCGTCCTAGACGTCGTCCCTGAGGTCGTCCTAGACGTCGTTCTTGAGGTCGTCCTAGACGTCATCCTCGAGGTCGTTCTTGAAATCGTCCTACACGTTGTCCTCGAGGTCGTCCTAGACGTCTTCCCTGAAGTTGTCCTAGGCGTCGTCCTTAAAATTGTTTTAGACATAGGCCTAGGCGTCGTCCTTAGGTTGTTTTAGAGGTCATCCTAGACGTCGTTCCTGAGGTTGTCCTAAACGTTGTCCTTAAGGTCATCCTAGACGTCGTTTTTGAAATCGCCCTAGACGTCGTCCTGGAGATCGTCATAGGCGTCGTCCTCGAGGTCGTCCTAGACGTCATCCCTGAGGATGTCCTAGACGTCGTCCTTTAGGCATTGTCCTTGAGGTTGCTCAAGAAGTCATCCCTGAGGTCGTCCTAGACGTCGTCCTTAAGGTCGTCCTGGACGTCGTCCTCCAAGCGTCGTCCTTGAGGACGTCCAAGAAGTTGTTCTAGACATTGTCCTCGAGGTCGTCCTAGACGTCGTGCCTGAGGTCGTCCTAAACATCGTCCTCTAGGCAGTATTCGAGGTCGTCCTAGATGTCGTCCTCTAGGCATCATCCCAAACATTGTTAAAATAGCTTCCCTGGTCCTCCATCTTCACGGAAAGTGAAAGGGCTCCACATTTTTTCTACTAATGTCCGAATCAAAGATTGTTTACCTCTGATGTATCGCGGACACCAAAGGGACCGTCGGACGAGGTGAAGGGCTCACTGGAAGGACTTCTGGTCCGATGCTGCCCTCAGGTGTCCGGGGCAATTGAAGTGAAGTATAATGTAACTCAAAAGTAACTATAAGTAATCAAAAAAGTAATCAAATCATCAATATAGCAAATATATATTAAATAGGCTGTATAACGACCCAAAGTAACCAAAATACTAGGTCAATAACAGCTCAAACCACTTTAAAGGGTAATCATAATGCAAATTTAGCTCATAAGAATACAATTGGTTCGATATTAGCTCAAAGTAATCAAGAATCATCAAACTGTCAATTAAGCCAAATTATTGTTTGTTAGGTCAATAGTAACTAGAAATAATCAAGAGTAATTGCAATGAAAATTGAGCTCATGATAGATAAATTGGTAATGCAATAACTCCAAGTACTTAAAATTGTCACCAATATGTTAATTGGGCAGATTTAAAGCCCATTGGGTTAATAGCAAATAAAAAAAAATGAATCATCATGTCAATTATGCCCATAATAAATCAATTGGTTGAAAATTAACAGAAAATAATCAAGGCTCATTGCAATGACAATTAAGCCAAATTAGGATTAATTGGGACAAGAGTAATAAAAATGTGAATCAAGCTCTTAAAAGACCAATTGGTTGAATGTGACCTCAAAGTAATCAGGAGAGTTACCGAATTGTGAAATAGGACAAATCCATTGGGTCAAGGCA